GTTATTTATAAAGTCCCATACAAAAAACAGTCCCTAGCATTTGTCTACACTCTACACTTGAGTGGCAACTGTATAAGTGACAATGCAGTATGACCATTTTGACGTAACCACAACTACGCAATCTTCATGGAGGAAATGTTTTGAGTTGACTTATTACATTCTGCATGTTATTTTGGCGGGAGCATTGAAGTATATATAGGTACTGTGGATTGTGGGAGTTGACAGTTTTATTAAACAATATGTTAGCGAAGTGCAAACTGCAATTTTTTCAATCAAACAAAAATTTATGACATTAGAGCCACGAGATTTCATACCCACTGGAATTATATGATATTAGAGCCACAATGTTTCAGAAAAAAATAGGACTTTTCCAGCCCTGTTAGAAGGCCTGCCACATTGCACCTCACACCGCTATGGCTATGCCAAAGTGTACACTTAGCTTATGAGAGGCTGCCACTAGTCTCAAGGCCACGCAATTTACTGACTGCATTTGGATCTCTGTGACGCTTGTCTTGAGTTGTTGTCTTGACTATAGTTGTTTATCCATAAGTAAATGATTTTTGCTATGAGTACCGTCAAACAGGATAGTGAGGGACGGGCAGGGTAAATCGGGACAGTTGTCCCTCATTTTGTAGAAATGTAGCAGCCAAACTAATTGAAATCTTGCAAAACTAAAAAAGTAGCGTAAAGTTCAACAATTTTATTATCTATGTACAGGGTTTGTACTGGTCATGGAAAACCTGGAAAGTCATGGAATTTGATTTTTCATTTTCCAGGCCTGGAAAGTCATTGGATTTCATTTCAGGTTATGGAAAGTCATGGAATTTGCAAATAAAAGAAGAAAAGAGGAGTGTTTTTCTGTGCTGCGTGTGTTAACTGTTTGTGCAGTCTCTTGTTTCCTGCATTCCGATTGGCACGCATGAAACAGGTGATTGCGCCAGTCTCTTGTTTCATGCATTCTGATTGGAGAGCCAATCACGTTAGCTCGGTTGCATTCAACAACTTTTTGATCTGCAGTGGCAGCATTCCATCTTCAGCGTGTAATTTGTACATCACCATGCATGGAAAGTGTAAATTTCATGACTTGTGGTTAAGAATAGAAGCTTATCATGACTGGCTTGCTTGCCATCCAAAGCATAAAGGTATGGCTATATGTAATTTGTGCTCAAAAGACTGCCGTGTCAAATATGGGGGAAGCAGCTTTGAAGAATCATGCCAAAGGCAGCAAACACACAAAGTTAACTAAGCAACCCAGTGAAGAGATGAGCAAAGCGCAGTCACGCATTTGCGATTTGCAGTCTGCTGACAGCAATGCTACTGCAGTTTCTTGCTCAAAAATCAGCCTACTGCTACTGTGAATGTAGAGACGGGGAGCAAGCCTGTATCCACTGCCAAAGCCAACCACAATGGCGAACCTACCAGCTTTGTAACAAAAGAAGTTAAGACATCTGAAATTTAGTGGACATTGAAAATGGTGATATCTCACTTTTCTTTTCATAGCAACATTGGCATAAGTGATTTATTCTGCTGCATGTTTCCTGAGTTTGATAGGTAACAAGTTTTCACTCAGCAAAACCAAGGCAAGATATATCGCCGCTTTCAGCTTGAGACCTTGCCTTTTGGATTTGCTGAAGCAAAATGCTCATGCTGCTGACAACTTAGTGCTGCTTTTCGACGAGCCACTTAATGAAGAACTTCAAAAGAAGCAGCTAGACATGCACGTTTGCTTATGGAGCCGTGATTGATAAGTGACAAAATTATAGATTTGTGTGTGTGTTATTTATTTAATTATTTTGGGTACTTTCATAGCACAAAATAAACTCATGTTTCTGTCTCATGGCCAAGCCATGGTTAATTAAGAGGGTTTTCGTTCAACAAGGAAATCATGACACACAATATGAAAGAGCAACCAGTGGTTGCCCTGCATGCTGTGGTTGGTCATGTCGCACGTGGTGGCCTGGACAAGATGACCATCACCAAGAAAATGCTGCTTGCAGCTGGCAGTGCCAAAACAGCCTACAATAATTATTTGACAGAAGAGAAAGAGCAGAATGCAAAGGCCCAGAAAACCCAGAAGAGGAAGGCAAGGCTCTGTTGGATGAGATAAATGAACTGAAGGAGAAAAGGCGTAAGGAAGAGGGCATCGAGGCACTTGAGCAAGCAGCAGATGAATATGCAGAAGCAATGGAGAGAAAGGGGGATTTTAAAATTATAGAAAAGTTTAACGCTATGAGGCTATCTTTGCAAATAAAGCAACAGGAGCTAGACACTCTTGATCTGAATATTAAAGAAAAAGTTGATGAAATTGCTGCCAGTTGAATGTTAGGGTGGTGGTGTTGAAGAGTGTTCTGAACTGTATTGACCAGACATTATCATGTACAATCTTGTGTGCATTACTCAATATTTGTTGCGATTTGACACTATTGAATTCATAATAATAAAAGTCTGGGCTTCATTTTCCAATTTGTTTCATTTCTGTACCTCTATATCTGCCTGCTGTATGCATTTACATGTTTGCTATTTATCAACTGTAGGAGATGAAAGAATATGCACAGTTAGTCTTTCAGTCATGCTAAACCTGTCTTATACAAGTCTTGCAAAATTATATTGATGGCCATGGAGAGTCATGGAAAAGTCATGGAATTTTTTTTTTCAAACTACTGGTACAAACCCTGTATGTAGCATAAAGCAAGTTAAGAAAGCATACATTTACAACCTCTGAAAAATCCCTGAAACAAGTGTGAAAAGTGAGATTTTGGAAAAGCACCTCTGCTAAGGTCTGGAGCAAAATAATATTTGCCATATTAAAATATTTTGCTTCATCAAAGCTGCACAGGTGTTGGCTGGGCAAAATAGAATGGAAAGTAATTAACCTAAACTATGATTTATTTTTCAAAAAAAATATGATGGTTGTCACTAAAATATTCCTTTCCGTTTCAGTATGTTTTTTACAATATTTTTTTCTTAAAGTGAATTCACTCAACCCAATTAAAATGGTATCAAATGACAAGCCGTCCTGTAAGCTTGCAGATACAGAAGAAATTCTATACAGCTGACAATATGAAGTTTGCAGTGGACAAGGTCATTGTAAATGCTCAATGGCATGTTTATGGATTTGGTAATATCTAATCAATGAAGGAAAAATGAGTAAAACCCACAGAAAATGTCATATATTCTACATTTCCTTCATCTACAAAATAAGGGGAGGACTTCAGAGTAGTATTTGTAATGGATTAGTACACTTTGCATGCTTCAAACATTTTAAAATTAAGTTTTATTTCAATTGTCCTAGATTAACCCATTCACAGGGGTAATTTGGGACACTTTTTTTTATATGCCATATAATAGCCCTTGCGAAGAAATGAGCCTAAATTTGTTTAGTAAATGTTTTATGGTAAGAAGTTGTTACCAAAAAACACTCAAAACCATCCCTTATTACCCCATTTGACGGTATCTCTTAGCAACAAAAAGAATACCTAACTAAACATTTTTGACATAGCTATTTTGAAGCTAAATTTACATTGGCATGCGAGTCCAATTTACATGCATGTAAGCCAAACTGAACTATATACAAACTACTTATATTGACAAGCTTTGGGGAATGCTGCAGATCTTATCTTGGTGTAAGGCACCTATTAGCAGAATTTTTTAGCCTGGATGGTTCATTTCTTTGATTAGCGCTGGCAATAAAGAGCATAATTTATTCTGTACCACACTACTTCTCTAAAAACATACATAGACAGCAAGCTTTTCTGTGGCTGTGGCAATGCAAGACTACAGTTTAGGCAGGGCTAATTTTTGGCAAAGGGATGGTATAACTTTTTGAATTTAAACTTGAAGTCCCATGGATTTGAACTTGGAAGTCCCATGCAATGCTCTTAACAGCTAACTCTCTGCATTAAAAAGTGTATTCATAATGGCTTTCAAAGGGAATTATATCAAATTAAAAAAATTTGTATCGCATTTTCTTGTTTATGGAAAAAATGCTCTATTGTGCTCGCCATGTCTGTCTGTCCATCCATCCGTCTGTGACTTCACGTTTTTTGTCAATGAGAAAATGCGCTCTCTGTCACTCACTACACTGAATACGGTACTGAGTTATATTTTTTTAGTATGTAATTTCTTAGCCAATTATTTCATTGAGCACAACTTGGGAATATTTTCCTATCAATATTTAAACTACAGGGTGTACCAGAATTAACTGACCCTTTTAATTTGTTAATAAATAAAAAACTAAGAACGTTATGAAGTTGAAACTTGTTTTATTTAAAAGAAGAACATTTTTATGGTAATATTGTATCATAGTTATGTCATTATCCTGTATAGCTTGCTAAATTTGTGTTTAATTATCAAGCCTTAAATTTTCATCATGATTCGCTACAGCAAAGAAGAAAGAACGAAAATTCTGTAAACCTACATCAGGACGATGTCAATAACAGAAGTTCATATGATTACAGGATCCATTTCAAAAGAAGAATCAGTCCTTCAAAAAAAAAAAATTTTTTCTAATGAAAAAAAAAACCTAATTTTTTGCCAGAATTACTAATGAAGGTTATGAAAGCAACGAAGAGAAGAGCCCTATTTTCTCAAAACAATTGTGGTGTGCATTTAAAAGATATTATATTTAAAAACTAGGATATAATATTACCATAAAAATGTTCTTCTTTTAAATAAAACAAGTTTCAACTTCATAACGTTCTTAGTTTTTTATTTATTAACAAATTAAAAGGGTCAGTTAATTCTGGGACACCCTGTATAAAGCCTAATTGCTCGTTAAAAAATCCCTCACGAAGGAAATGTGTGATAGATAGTATTGCTGTAGCAAGGGATTTTGGCCTGATTTTGTATAAACATATTTCCTTATAAGTAACTAAACTGTTTATCATGGATGTTGGTTTATTTATGAAAATTACAAATCCTTGCATGAAATTGATTAATAAATCTTAGCATTTTGTAATTTAAAACCTATAAAGTAACTTATTTTTCTTCTCTTTTTGCAGGCTAAATTCTGTCTTGCCTCTTGGCCCTTGCTGAAGACCTTAACGTGTCAGAGGATTACACACCAGAGCGTACATTCAAGTGTGACGGTTCAAGTCTTAACATTGACTTTCTAAAATTGGTTATTGAATAATATATTTTATATTGGTTTAAAAGAAGAGATCTCTTCACTTCACTAACACACAATGGCATCTGGCTCCAGTTTTGTAAGTATCTATACCTAATGTTGATAGTTGAACTGTAATGTAATAACTGTGGCATGCAATATAAGTTCAGAAGTGTTTTTAAGGCATTTACTACTCAAGTAAAATAGCTTGAGCCTCAAAAATATGATGGTACCTGTATGGTTTTTTCATCAGATATTGTATAGATTTTTTTCTTGCCTTCTGGTCAAATTTGCATTTCATAAAACTTTGCTAAAAAGTTCCTACATTTGTATGCTGTTAAACCTTTTCTTTTATGTCAGCCATCAATAGCACAGAAGTTGTCACTCCTCTGTGTCCAGTGCCATTCAATAAATGTTACAATATATGCTTGTCTAAAGTATATTTTTTGCATTTTATTTATGATAAAAAGTTACTTAGCTTGTTACAGGTTTGTAGAATCCTCTGCTTTTACTCTATTCATAAAACTTCTATGTTATTTCTAGTTCAGGTTGTCATCTAATTAAATTTTAATCAGAAACAAACTGCAATGCAGCAAATAATATATAATTTTAAAAGTTGTTTATGAAGATTTAATTTAATGTCATGTAAATGCTAATGATGTCACGATTTAATAAATATGCTATCAACATCACAGCATCAGTCCCATTCCTCTTCACAGTAATACACTATGACTTCATTTTGGTCTTTCAATAGTAGTTATTGTGCAATATGAATGTTTTGTGCTCATGTTAATGTACTTTATCTCTTAACATTTCAGTCTGGTGGAGACTTCAGACGCAAGTGGGACAGAGATCAATATGAAGAGCTTGCTAGGAAGCGGCTGCGTGCAGAGCAATGTGAAGCATTAGGCAAGTATTTCTGACAAATGCCTGTAAAAATACAATTAGGATTATTATTCCAGCATTTAACATTTTATTGATTTATATTTCATTTATACTTTATACTTCTTATTGAAATTTCTGAAGAATGTACCTGACTGGTATACCTGAAATGTATCTTATAAAATACCTAATTTTAGAACATTAATAACCTATCTAACTGGATTTTTTCTTCTTAAATTAACTTTCAAAGTAAAGAATCTGTATATACAAATATATAAAGTCAATTTCATATACTTTCAGGCTATGAAGCAAGAAGAGCCCCTGTAAAGCGTGAGACGCTCAAGCAGCGAGACTACAACATTGACCTCAACTCCAGGCTTGGCAAGAGTCAGTTTATCACAAGAGCAACTCCAACATCTCAGTCTGCAGGGTAAGAATAACTTGTTTCAAGACGTCTTTATGGTCTCTCATGTAACACAAACATGACATTGTTTTTTAGGAGACTATTTATTGACTGATCAAAAAGTTTAAATATTTTTCAGATTCTTTATTGTTGAGTGATTATTTTGTGAATTTTTATGGCTACATTTAGCCATAAGGTGTTGAAATATATAATCTGCCTTTTTCTGTGCTGCGTGTGTTAACCCATTAATGCCGAGTGGTTCCATTTGGAACCAGCAGAGAAAAATGAATTCACAATAAAATTGTAAGATCAAATAAATATACCTGTGGATGCATAGGTTTGATACACATCATGTACATGTTCTGGCAAAGTTTGGTTCTGCCGCGCTGACTACTCTCTTTTCAGTTAACATTCACTAGAACCAGGTCATGGAACAGTCGTGGAAATTTTTTTCTAAATACCGGTACATACCCTGTATATATAGGTATATATTTTTCTTCATTCAACATCTCAATATTGTTTGTATAACTACTATGTATTCACACCATTCTAACTTCACTGTTGGTTACTTCTCCAGATTAAATGCACAATTCATCTGCATGAGCGCTGTATATTTCTTAAAATTTATCAGATGTGATTTTTCTATTCACAAATATATTTTGTTTGCACCTGTACATTTACACCTTTAGGCAATTCTAGATCGAAATTTTAAGAAAAATTTCTCCTTTTCAGATATTACTGCAATGTATGTGACTGCGTCGTTAAAGAATCCATCAATTTCCTTGATCACATCAATGGCATAAAACGTAAGTTTATAGTCCATATTTTTCTCATTGTTTGAAAGGCCTCGTTTATTACTTGAAACTTTTAAACTGTATTTACTGAATGAAAAAGATCCGTTTATTCACATATTTTTCTCGTATAAAGTTCAGCAGTATGAAAAACATTTTTTTGCATACTAATAATGAAATTTTTCTCTAGGAAAATTCAGTTTTTTCATTTCTTGTGTTTATGTCAAAACCTGTTTCATTTGTTCCAGATCAGAGAAAGCTTGGAATGTCTATGGAAGTGGAGCGTTCCTCTCTGGACCAGGTCAAAAAACGTTTTGAAATGAATAAGAGAAAAATGGAAGAGAAGGAGCAGCAGTACGATGTAGAGCAGCGATTAAATTAATGGGATTCGGAGCTTTCGGATCTAGCAAAAAGTCTGGATTGTGTTCAATAATATGTACATAAAATAAGCACCGTTTTTTTTTATCGAAATATATTCGTGTAAATTTCAATTGTTTCATATTTCTACCACCCTTGTCTTCAATTATCTTGGTTGTGATTACGTCGAGCAAGAGCTTGGAGATGTGCTGGTAGAAGTAACTACGAATATGAAACAATTTCGCATAGATAGATACAAAAATTGAATAGGCTTTACAGTTGTAGAAAAGGAGTTCTAATCAGAGACTAAATCTGCCCAGAGCTGCATGAATTTACATGATCCCTTCCTGCATTAACGTAGCTTCCAACTATCACATTTTCGGCTTCAAGCCACCCGCCTGAATCAGACAAACCCGCCTCCAGTAAAGAAGCCGTGTATGAAATGGCCCAGCATCGTCTGGCAAATTATGAAATATTACATCAACCAGACGAGGTTCGAAGGAAGCACTCGTCTCCCTTCTAAACTAGCTGCGGTAAGTGGGAGTGGCAAGTGGCAGCTGCGTTTTAACGCTGACAAATGTAAAGTAATTCGCCTTGGCAAGAATAATGAACAGCAAGATTACAGTATAAGAAGACGTGGTTGCAACGACAGAGTGATAATGTCGAAGTCGACAATGGAAAAAGATTCAGGAGTTAATGTCGACATTGAGTTTAAATTTTCTAAGCATATTGAAGCTCAAGTTATTAAAGCAATCAACGACTTGTACTGATCAGACGCTCCTACGAGTATATAGATGCAGAAGCGATGAAGCTGTAGTTTGTCGCTGTTGTACGTCCGAACCTAGAGTTTGGAAACGCAGTGTGGTCACCAAAACTATGAAATACACAAATTTAGTCGATAGAGTTCAAAGACGTGCAACAAGGATAATTCCGGGATTAAAAGGCAAGCCTTTTGTCACTACCTACTGGAAATCTCTGATTCGTTAGAATACGTTTTCCTCAATTTCCAAAGACTTCACTTTTCGCAAAAGCGGCTCATGCGGAACACTGTCAAATGCTTAGGCAAAATAGAAGTACAATGCATCCACTGGCTCCCTTTCATCCAGCAGGCGAGTCCAATCGTTCAGCGTAGATAATAAGTTAGTGGAGCAGGATATACTGGCAAAAAAAAAAAAAAAACCTGTTGACAATCTGATAGGAGATGGTGATCCACATTTAATCCACGTTCTAATGTAATTTGTCTGATTAAACCGTAAGTTCAATAAGAATTTCGAGACAAAGAAATCGCCAAGTAATTTCAACTTATCTTCATTGAAAACCTTTTATAAATCAGCTCAATCGTCAGTTCAAAAAATTTACAAAATGCAAGTACAATGAGTCGGGCCGGTCTACAATCTGAAGGGAAAATCATAATGTACTCGAAAAGGATTAAAACCAAAGTAACAAGAAAACGACAACGGAACATGAATACCTATCGATTTACAATTTCAAGGCAAGGTATCCGTTCTAAAATATGTAGCGATAGGACTTGCCTTTCAATCCCGGAATTATCCTTGTGGCACGACTTTGAACACTCTATTAAATTTTTGTCCTTTTCAAGTTTCGGTGACCAGACGACGTTTTCAAGCTCTATGTTTGGGCGCACGACAGCAACAAACAACTGCTTCATCTCTTTTGCATCTAGGAACTCAAAAAAGCGTCTGATCAGTCCACGTCGTTTTGATCAGTCCAAGTCGTTCAGCCAAGTCCAGCTTTATTAACTTGACCTTCAATATGCTTAGAAAAATTCAAATCATTGTCGATATTAACTCCTAAATCTTTTCCCATTGTCGTCTTGGCCTCTCTCACGGCCGGTCTCGCGGCCGTGATTCCAAATTCAGTGAGCGTGGAATATCTCGCAAAATACTGAACGTAGCTTGATGAAACTTGGTACACATAATCATTAGAGCCTAATGGTGATGTTTAGCTCGTGACAATTTTTCAAAATTCGCCTTCATTCCTGAGTTATATGAATATACGTGGTGAAAATTGCAGTGAGCGTGACATTTCTTCTAAAGTACTGTACAGATTTGAATTAAATTTTGAATATAAATTTCTCAATACCCAGAATGAAGGCGAATTTTGAAAAATTGTCACGAGCTAAACATCACCGTTAGGCTCTAATGATTATGTGTACCAAGTTTCATCAAGCTACGTTCAGTATTTTGCGAGATATTCCACGCTCACTGAATTTGGAATCACGGCCGCGAGACCGGCCGTGAGAGAGGCCGCGTTTTTGTCCGAGACGTCTCATCAGCCCAGTCAACCATCCTGTCAAGATCACCTTGTAACTGTACTTTTTGCGACGTATTATTCACTGTATTATAAATTTTTGTATCGTCAGCATTCATCGAGCAAACGCTAGACACAGCTTCTGGCAGATCGTTTATAAACGAAACGAATAAAACAGGCCCAAGAACGCTTTCTTGTGGCACGGGAAGAACGGATCCTAGTGGCCCGAGAACGCTTCCTTGTGGCACCGTTTACAATCGCGGAATATTTTACGTGAAGAAGAAAACTTCAAGTCCACAGGTCACCAAAACGTTTGCGTTATATTGTTCAGGATATTCAACTCTGAATAAAATTCCTAAAGATATATGCATATCTTCATTGATCTGTATAATATATATTTTTTCTCCTCGATCGCGCCCAGATGTGAAAAAATTATTGGAGCCTTATTATTTACTTTGCATAACTTATTTATTTAGATTTTTCCCGTAATAATGATAAAAAATATAACTCAGTACTCACTGCAGTGAGTGACAGAGAGCGCATTTTCTCGTCGACGAAAACATGAAGTCACGGACGGACAGACAGACGGACAAACGGACGGACAGACGGACATGGCGAGCGCAATAGTCCATTTTTTCATAAATGAGAAAATGCGCTAAAAAGAAGGGAAGTGCAATTTATAGGGTATTACTTTAGATCAAGTGCATCCAAAAAAGGGTGTTTTTTTTAATCATAAGTTTTTTGGGTGTAGATAAAGAATCTGAAATCCGTTTTTGGCGGTCGGCATTGGAAAACCGATTTTTATATATGCCGATTTTTATATATTTTCTAATGCAAAATGCAAGTTAAATTTTGGCACCAATATCCGTGGATTTATAGCGTTTTTAACTTCGCCTCGGTGACCCATATACTCTTGCAACCACGACATTGCAGGCAACCACGACATTGCAACCACGGTTAGGTTAGGTTAGGTTAAGTTAGATTAGGTTTTTTCGCCGATTTTGCCGATTTTTGCCCGATTTTTTTGACGAATTAGAGCCTCGGGGAAAAAATCTGTTTTCCGATGCCGACCGCCAAAAACGGATTTCCTATTCTTTATCTACACCCTAAAAAACATGTAATAAAAAAACACCCTTTTTTGATGTACTTAATCTAAAGTATTACCATCTATAGAATAAAATTGTCGCTCAACGCGCAGAAGAACATTTGGAGAGCACTGCAAAATACAACAAAGCATAACACTGTACTGCACAACGCAGCACTACACTGCATAGCACAGCACTACAATGCATAGCGTAGCATTATTGGCGTCGAAGAATAGACCAAGTTACCGTTGAAGTAGTCGTCGATTCTGGTAATGTTCTTGACTTGTCTTCTCATGATCTCCATGTGTCAATAACACAGAAGAGGAGTTGCCACTCGCCACTATACTCGTCTTGCCGGCTTCGAATAGAAAAGGATTTATATTATCAACAGAACCAAAGAGAAATTGTTACTAACATGCAAACATCATTGCAAATTCTTATATGTCAAAAAAGTATCTAGTATAAATCAAATTTCCCCTTCTTGTATTTAGTATAATTTTTTATTTTATGTATGTGCGTCCAACCTCGTGCATTATCGTCTTGAGACTTCGAGGGCATCGAGGCAACTCGAGGTCGAGAGTCGAAACTCTCCTGCATCATGATTGCGACGTGGACCGTCAACGCTTGCGGTTCTTGTGAGTTGTGTAAGGCCGTAAGGGGAGTGTAGTCACTGTGTTGATAATGACTGCAGGGTTACGAGCGAAAGTGTCAGGATATGAATTGAATCTCAAACACTGAAAGTATCATTTGGAAAGTCCAGCCTGCTCTGGTTCTGGCTCTTTTTACTTTTCAGCAAGATTATTGTATTTAAGAATGCTCATTGATGACTGACTCTGACTGATTTGATTTGTCCTGTCTTCTTTTCAAGTTTTGTTTGGAAATAACGCTGTCCAGTGTCCACATTTATATAAATAGGTAGAATATTGTCAACAAATCACTCAATTGATTTGAAATGAAAAAAAAGTTGATAATTATATCATGGCTTTTTCTATTTGAGTTACAATTATCATCAATGACACAAAATTGGCTCTGGAGCAGCCATAGTGACAAAGCAGAGAGTTTTTTAGACTCTCCCTCAAGTTCACTTTTGAAAGCATTATCATACTTAAGAAATTGGTTCAAATCTTGAGTAAATGAGGAAATTAAAAATGAACTGATTCTAAAAAAGCTCTGGTTTGCCACTATGCTGCTATGCAAGAAACCAAATTCACCGCCCGAGCCAAAGATCTTAAATTCCACAATTAGGCCATCTACCAAAAAGACTGAACAGCCAAGCAAGGTGGCAGACTGCTGATGCTGATTCACAACTCCATCCCGTTCACCATAACGAAACTCCCTGACAACACCACAATTGAAAGTCAAGCCATCATGATTAAAGCTCTCAACTCCGACCTGAACATTATCAACATCTACATACCCCCTAAAAGTTCCTGCCCTGCCAACTTCAAAGCATCGATGACCAATCTACCTGCACTACCTAACACAATAATCTTAGGTGACCTGAATGCTCACGACCCACTCTGGCACTCAAGCAGTTGAGACGCCCGTGGCGAGGACCTGGCCAGCGAACTAGGCAACTCCAAAAGCAGCACGCTCAACATGGACACCCCAACCCGGCGACCCAGCAACGGACAACCTACATCTCTGGACATCTCTATCACCTCAGACTCCCTGATCTCACACATGGACTGGACCACCGCCACAGCTCTCACCTCTGACCACCTACCAATACACGTCACCTTGCTAGGTGACTACGACAATACCAAACCTCCCAAAATCACCATCACAAACTTCGCCAAAGCTGACTGGAACAAATTCACCCTCAAAACCGAACAAGTCTTTCACACAGCCAACCTCCCGCCTGATGTCTCCGCAGCTGAAAAACTCTTTCGACAAACAAGACTTAACGCAACATTCCATCTGGCCGTTACATCACCTCCAAACCCGGCTTGTCAAAATAAATAATCAACCTCATAAAACAACAAGACATGCTCTGCTCAACAAACCCCTCGTCCCCAAACATTGCAAACATGACGAGCCAAATCAACGGCCTCACCAACAACCTCAAAACTAACCGTCAGAAAGAATACCTTGACACCTTCAGCCGCCACACCAACATCAAACGCCTCTGGACAACCATAAATGCCCTGAACAGAAAACCCAAGCTTTACTCCAACGTTGCAATCGCCTTCAATGAAAAGCCCCTCAACTGCAACAAGAAAATGGCCAACAAATTTAACTAACTCTTCACCACCTCCGCACGACACACCACCAAGAAACTTGACCGAATAACGAAACGTTCAGCAAAGCGCCTCAACTTGACAGACTGCCTCATGTTGACCACAGAACTCGTCCACAATGCCATAAAACACTCTTGTCCTTCCAGAGCCATTGGACCCGACGAGCTTACAATCCTTCACCTAAAACACCTCAGAACTCATGGAATCACCTACCTGACCAAACTATTCAACGAGTCGCTCAGAGCCTGCCGAATACCTGAAATCTACAAAACCACTAAAGTGATCCCCCTACTCAAACCCGGTAAACCAGAAGACCAAGCCTCCTCGTACCGACTGATCTCTCTCCTCTGTCCAGCCGTCAAAGTTCTAAAAAAATGCCTCCTATTTATCATCAACAAACACCTTCCACTCGCCAGGCACCAACAAGGTTTCAGACCCGGGCACTCTACCACCTTGGCTCTCGTTCTCCTGACAAACTACATCTCCAATGGACTCAACCAAAAGAAACCTGCTCACCGCACTATCGTTACCGCTTTGGACCTCAGCAAAGCCTTCAATACCGTCAACCATCAAACACTCGTCAACGACCGTATCGATTCCACCCTGCCCCATTCAATCGCATGCTGGATCACTAACTATCTACATAGGCGCTCAGCCTACACTGAATTCTGCAATGAAACATCGAAACAACGAATCATTCACACTGGGGTACCACAGGGATCCGTGCTGTCCCCGTCGCTCTTCAACCACTACATTTCCAAAGCCCCACTACCTCTGCCAAACATCAAAATCATTTCCTACGCAGACGACTTCACCATCTGCGCAACTGGGCCTGACACTGTACGACTTACCAAACAACTCAATAACTATCTGCCAGAGCTGACCTCCTTCTTCACCCAATGCAATCTCGAAATTTCAGCCACCAAGTCAACAGTCACGCTCATCACTCCTCACACCGCTCAATACAATCACCACCCACAAGTGGAAATCAACAACCTGGTACTGCCGCTCAACCACAACCCAAAAATCCTCGGCCTCACCTTCGACACAATGTTCACCTTCACTGCCCACCATAAAAACATCGCCTTCAAAGCTTTGAAACGTAACAATATCCTCAAAGCTCTCCCGGAACCACATACGGACAAGATAAAGAAACGCTCCTCCAAACCTACAAAGCAATTGGCCGCCCAATAATCGATTATGCCTGCCCGGCCTGGATACCTGTCACATCCAAGTCAAATCTCAATCGCCTCCAAACAGTACAAAACGCCGCTCTACGCACAATTACAGGATGCCACAACATCACCTCAGAACCACACCTCCACTCAGAATGCCGAATGCTAACCGTTCAACAGCACTCCGATCTACTGGCCACATAATTCCTTCTAAAGAGCCATGACATCAACAACCCTTGCCACCGCATCACTACCCTAAACCAACCACCTCATACAAGAAAAGAAATGCTACACACTCGCTACCACGACACCATTCAACCCGTCATGCCAGCCGCCATCAACAGCCAATCCATCAAAACTGCCTGCAACACACTACATACAAGCGCCGCCTGAACGGCCGTTGAGACTTACCACGTCCCGGTACTTCTCAATGGCTGGCCACCACCCACGCCAAAAATCGACCCGTCTGAAGCCACTTTGTCACGCAAAACAAGGCAAATACTAGCCCAACTTTGGACCGGCCACTCCATTATACTAAACAGCTGCAAAAACCGCTTGTGACAACAACATCAACATTTGTCCACATTGCTGTCTTCTGCCGGATGACGTGCCTCATCTTTTTAACTGCATCAGCAATCCTACAACCCTTAACATCATAGACCTATGGCGAAGGACCGTTCAAGTGGCTGGTTGGCTCCGGCCCCATCTGGACCAGCCCAGCTGACGCGCTCGGCTGGGGCAACAACAACAACATTACACAAAAAAAGTTGCCATTCATCACTAAAAATAAACATCGTTTAGTAGGTAGCCTACTGGACTACGTCCACAGGTCACTGCCTGCCTCACTGGCACTTACTAGGTAGTCTGTCTGGCAGTGGTCACTGGTCGTGGTCAGACTCAGAACAACAATTTGCAAGGTTTGATAACCACATGATGACTTAGCAGCTGTTGTTATCATGCTATAGAGATGGGATTTATTTTTATTTATAAAATAGATATTAGACTGTTTCTATAAATTCTATTCAAGACTGATGAGTGGTGACCTAAGTGCTAATCAGCTAATGTGCTATGGCAAGTTAGGTAAGCCATAAGATTATTAAGATAATGACATTAACTTTGTAGATCTTTGTCATATTCATGTGTTTCAATTATTTTCTTGAAATTCTGATTCTTTGAAGTTGACATGCTTTTATTGCTTTTGCTTTACATTGTTCCTTTTTTTGAAGAATAATATAACATGATAATAATTTGTCAACATCTTTTAGCTTGCTGCCAATTTCTGGAATTTTTTCAACAGAGATTAGTGATAGACATAATATTCATTGTTAAATAATTATAATACAAAAATGGAGTTGATTTGTGCTTTGCAACAATATTCCTGGGGTGTTAAGGGAAAACTTTCCAGTGTGGCTCAGCTTGCTCAAGCCTCACAGGTTGATGTTGCTATTGATGACTCCACACCATATGCTGAACTTTGGATGGGTACACATCCTAATGGACCTTCCTTAATAAAAGGTCAGTATCATCACTTCCAATTGCATACTCATTAGAGTAATTAGACTGATTTTCAGGCATTGATAACAGTTTGATAGTTTTAGATAATTTCTTTGGTTAATCTATGTATTTTTTAAATTCATAAAATTGTATCTTCTGCACATTATTCTTACCATGGTACCACCTGTCCAGAAGTGGGATTTGGCAGGTGGTAACATTTTTATTGCAAAGATGTGCCTACCTCCTATAGATACTGGGAAGCTACTTTGTAGAGTTTATTAATTTTTTCCTTGGGTCAATACTTGTGGCGACAAATGTGCCACCAGCCTTTACTCAATAGCAATGTGCTAATTTGTTTTGTCATATTACCAAAATAGATTAGAAATATTTTATTTATTAACTATATTGTATTCAAGCATAGGAGAAAGTTAAATAGAATTATATGCTCATGAACTTACTTATGTGCTTGTATTAAAAATAATAGGTAAAATGTCATTGTATATTTGTGCATAAAATCAATGGCTGTACGTATTTTTTTAATGCATCATTATTTTTTTAATATAGGGATAAGCCAGAAAGAGCATATTATATGTATAAATCCATTATTGAACCATGTTATTAGAGCAAGAAGATAAATTGATGATAAATTAGTTAGAAAAAATCCTACAAATTTTAACTTCATGGTACTATTAATTTTTTAGTTAAATTATGTCCAACTGATTGCTTTAATGCAGACTTCTTGAGATTTGTTAAGTTATCATTCAATGCTTTTTCCTAAAAAAATAAATTATAATAATTTAAATGATTTCAGGCACCAAGCGACTGCTTTCTTCATACATCCAAGAGAATCCAGAGTGTTTGGGCAAAATTGTGACTTCAAAGTTTGGTCCCAATTTACCGTTCCTTTTCAAGGTGCTCAGTGTGAACCAAGCTCTCTCAATACAAGCACATCCAAATAAGGTTAGCCCATTCAGTATTCATATGCATTGGCTACAACCTTCCTTTTTATACAATTTTAACATGAGGGGTTTAAATGAAGTTGAACAGAAGATTTTTTTTATCACATAGATTTAAAGGCCAATTTAGCTTCCGAAGTAGGTATATTTGGCTTTTATTATATGCTTATGTTGAACTTAATACGATTGCTTTCTTTATTGTTAAATGTTGATGTTAATGAGCAGAGTCATGCTGAGGAGCTTCATGCTAGCCGTCCAGATGTGTACAAAGACCCGAACCACAAGCCTGAGATGACCATTGCCTTGACTCCTTTTCTTGCTCTCTGTGGCTTCAGGCCTCAACAAGAAATAGTTCAGTTTTTCCAAGGTAGGTTATTTTTTTAGAGTTTTTTTACATGGTTGATTTGAGCTATTTAATTTCTTAGCATGAAATAGTGCTAGAGAAAATATTATAAGATGATTATTTTTATGTAGGATTTGTTGAAGTCGCAAGTCTTACTAATAATTTTATTGTTGTTCTTCTTAATTTGTCAAATTAAGACTTTTGAGTGGATTTCAAAATTCAAACGTGATGTTTTCAAGGGAATTTTATTATGATATTGGCCATTTAGCCCAGCATTTCCTGGGCTTGATAACCCTTGTAACTTTAAAAATTGTTATTCCATATCTTGTAAATAACAAAGCTAGATGTGCTAATTAAAGAAAGGTCCATTCAAATTCTAATTTTATGTAGGAGGTAGAACTCTCATTTGACTCTTGTTTTGAAATAATTCAATATTTCAAAATATTCTTTTCAAACAAAATTTTGATATACCTACCAACTTGGACATAAATTTCAATTTTCAAACTGATCAGTTCAAACTCATTATGGATATGCACTCTATAGCTGCTATATACTATACCTAGTGTATAAGTACACATGTATGGTGCAAGTCTTCAAACACCCCAAACATTGACAAATAAAGGTAGTCAAAGTCTCTAAAAACAACTCATGCCAATTTGAGTTGCAAAAGAATGAAGGAACGCGCCCATAACAAATTTTTATTTAGATCACGAGGTGCCATCACTTGTTCTACAGTCATTCAGGACCTATACCAATGACATGAAATCAAAAAGGTGACCACAAGATATCTCCTTCATGTCATAATCCATTTAAAGAGTTTTGCAATTTTGTATAAATTCTTGGGTGCTGTTTTGGTTTTTTTTTTTTTGTCATCATTGCTAGAGAAGTTAACTTAACCAAATTTTTATTGGAACTAGGTATTTTATGTTGGACCTACTTAAACTTTAAGTCTAACAATAATTTCAACTTTGCTGTTAATTTAATGTGCCTATAGATTCAACATAAGGGTTTTGTCAATTTGGCCTAATTTAGCTTCCTAGTTGAAAACAACTTGCAAGTCTAGCCTGAAAATTTTTGAGCATTTACAATAGTAGAAGTCTCAAAGTTTGGTACAAATTTCAGTGCTAAGCCCATTTTTCAAAATTTATGAGGAAAAACAGAAAATTTTCTTTAGACTTTAGAGGCTAAATATTAATAAGATTAAGACATTTCAACTAGTTAACAATTATAAAGCTAAGTAAATGTTTTATAATACTTGCAGAACCTTTGCTTAATATAATAGTGAATTATATTTATTCAAGACTCTATATTTGAATGAGATGTTCCTTGTAAACCTCATATTTGAATTTTCAAATCCTTCAAAAAAATATAATTTCACAAATCGAGAAAAACAAGACAAAGATTGTTAATAAGAATTACTCTATGGTTTTCAAAAATAATTGCAGTAAAGAAGCACTGCTGCCTAACCAGACCACAAAATATTATCTTTATAATAGCTTGGTGCATTAAATTTCAGATATTCCTGAGCTGGTGAGTGTAGTTGGCCGGGCAGCTGCTGAGGAGTTCTCTACTGCACCATCAGCCTCTACCCTGCAGGCCTGCTTCTCTGGCCTCATGCGAGCCTCAAAAGACGTGGTGGAGGAAGCTCTTGTAGGGCTGGAAAAGAGACTGCTAGCCATGGGTGACTTAAAAATGCTGTGATGATGCATTTTTTAATAATGCAATTTTTATAATGCATTTTGTCATAGAAGCATATATAAAATATTTCTGTAAATTTTAACCTTTAGCAAATTAATCCTGAGCTTTAGTCGAGATATTATAATCAGAAACTGTATCCAAGTTAATCTAAAATTGCCTGATCTAGTTCATAAATTTTGTGTGGTATTTCAATCGGAAATTACCGCAGGCACTGAAGATGCCGATCGTCTACATGCCTCCACGTTCCTAAAAACACTGAGCCAGTATCCAGGGGACGGTGGCTGCTTTGCACTCTACCTTCTGAACCTTATTGAACTACAGCCCGGGCAAGCCATGTTCCTTGGTCCCAATGTCATCCATGCCTACTTGCATGGCGGTATGTCGTGATTTATGATTTACACAAATAATATTTCCGATGAGAATTACTAGAAGTAGCAAGAGTTGAAGTTGCACCGAAAGAAACATATTTCTGTTGAAGAGAAATATGTATACTATTGAAATTATTTGGGACGAAGTATTATTTATAGTATCATTTCGTCAAGTCCTTAGTTCTGTTTTTGACTGTGAATTTTCACACTCTGACATAGTGAATCACAGCCGTGTCAATTTATTCTCTCGCAGATTTATAAAGTATTTGGTGACTTAGTTTTGTTTGTGTTGCGCGCAGACTGCGTGGAGTGCATGGCGTGTTCAGACAACGTGGTGCGAGCTGGTCTCACTCCCAAGTACCAGGACGTGGACACTTTGATTGCTATGCTCGAGTACCAAATGTCTGATGCTCACTCCAGGATTTTCAAGCCCACCAAGCTTGATGCTTCGTGCGAGCTTTTCAACCCTCCTGTGCCAGACTTTGCTGTTGAAGCCATCAAGGCAAGTAATTTATGTACATCAAGTTCACTGTTTATGGTCATCACACTGAAGGATTTTGTGATAAAATATACATTTGATATATTAAATAAGTATTATGTTTGGGAAACTAGGATCAATATAGCATCATTTGACGCACTATTGTTCAGAATACATTCAATTACTGTGAAGAAGCTCCTGCATGTTTAATGAGCTCTGGTATAATAGATTTGTACGAAAGCTACCACAACGCCGGGATGAAGCGTGAGCCTGGCAGGCTTCTGCTTGAAAAGTCAAATGACATAACGTAATGAACATGGAATTAATTAAAATGAACAAAATTTTTGCGTTAGCCGTTTGATTCCATGTATTATGAATGTAGTTGCTGGTTTTCAGGTAGCCAGCGGGAAGTGCTACAGCGTGCGGTCGGTAGACTCGTGCAGTCTGCTGCTGGTGGTGCAGGGCGCTGCCTCCGTCACGGCGAGCTCTCCTGCCATGCCTGCCCCTCCAGCTTCTGTGGTGCGCGGATCAGTGCTGTTCCTCCCTGCCAACTACTCCATCACCGTCGAGCCGTCACAAGATCTGGTGGCCTTCAGGGCGCTCTGCGAGCCGTGAACGAATGGATCATCTAGTGCTGTGCGTGATCTAGAATCACTACACTATGTGCATATTTAAACTTCAGTATGACAAGAATCAGTTTCATCATCGTGCAAGAACTTGCAGAAAAGCTTCTACAATGATGAGGACTAATCAACAAGTGGTATATGTTCCTAAAAAGTATTTTTTTTATCAGGACTTGTATCTGTGCAAATGAAGTTACTAAGCAATCCATTCGATTCTTCTGCTATTGAAATTGTTAGACTTTAGTGTATCGATCGTTCATTGAACCAAAGATTTATTATTTCTTTAAATAAGGTCATGAATTAGGAAGATGTTGATTGTTTATCCACGATTTCTTTACTAGTTTTACACTTACAATATATCAGTTTGATTTAATGATTTTTCACTGTTAAATTACAATATTTAAGTTAGTAATAATTCCAATTTGATTTACCGAGATTATGAATTTCAAAGGGATCAAAGCAGGTTAAAACGATGCTGTTAAAGCTTTCTTCAGTTGTTACCCAAGTATTTGTTAAAGAAGTATCATGTTTCTTTAGTTGTTACCCAAGTATCATGAATTGTTTGAACGCTTTCATAAGTTTACACTGGATCTTGTTTTCTGTTGTTACTGCTGTGCTCCTGTCAGCCGTCCGTTGTTCAAACTGCAGGCATGCGATGTGTTTCTAATAGTTTCCGCACCAGAAATATGAAGTGACTTCTGTTACTGGAGCATACTAGTTCATAAATCTTTTAAATGAACAATAAATAACGTAGCTTTATATAGGATATAATCTCGAAAAGACTACTACCTAATTTTAAATCGACAGCGAAAGGATTAAAAGAAATATTTGTAATATAACAGATTCTGAATTTTAACCTTAATTCAATATTAGTTTGTGTTTGGATCAAGCAGTAGAGAAAAGTGTTAATTTGACACTGTAATTACTGACTTTACATACTCTCGTGTACATTTCATTCATGAATAGTAATTTACATGCACGAGAAGCATGCTGAGGATGAAAAGTAGGGGCAAAAATTAGTTAATTACATAAGTTACGAATTAAACGCGATGAAGAAACTAACTTGAGAAAATCGAAATGACGAAACTACTTTCAGTTACTCGAGATTAAAATTTGTTATGATAATAATATTCAGTTCTATATATTCTACATTCATGGGTAAAGTTCAAGCATAAACATTACAATTGATACAGGCAAAAATGTGCTGATGCTTTCATGAGTTAAGCTGCCAGAAATTGGCGTTTCTAAGCGCTTACTGTTACCATGAAAGATGAACACACAATTAACAACTATGAAAATAACAACGAGAGGCGCAGCAGCAGGCCATAAATTTATGATAATGAAGCAGCAAATTGCCTAACGGGAGTCAACACACACTACATGCAATAACTATATTTAGCCTCAGCGATAGAAGCCACAGACTACGCTGGAACACCGTAAGCCAGACCAGGAAAGTTCTGCTTAAAGCAAATAGCACCGCAAGTTTACAGCCAATGGTTATGCATGCTTGCTCATAAACAAGCAGTTCTGAATCCAGCCTAGCCTATTCAGGCTGATCCGATTCTCAACCTTTTGCAGTCAAGGGTCAGCTCTGCCTGGTTTGTTTAGAGAAAGAGAATTGTTGCAACGCTAGCAGATTAGGCAAGAGCCTAGACTGGAGTAAGTTAGGCCGGATGCTACGACCATTTTAAGCACTGGCTGTTGAGACACGCTATGGCTTTAAGCACTTCACTTCGTAGGCTATTGTGCCCTTAAGCGTGCTAATCAACGCACATAGGAATTAGACCTGAAGTGTGAAGCTGGGAAAGCTGGACTCCGGCATGCACCCCAAATTTTGCTAATTCTACTCTATGATATTAAATATTAGTAATAAGCACACGCTTCTACTGTAAACTTATATAATAATGATCATTGGCTTGACGCAAAGATGGTGGCAGGATGTTACGGCACAGTTTTACTCTGTTTAATTTTTGTAGTATTCATTTGTGAGATATTTATGATATTGAGACAAATCGAATTAAGGCCATTTGAATCAATTAAAAATGAACTTTCATAGCCTAGCTAATACTTGGTGATATGCGTCTCCAAGAGAAAAGACGAGACCATAATAAGAAACTTTGTTAGTAGCTGTTTCAATGCTTTTATCTACGAGACATCTAACGACTACAAAGAAGTTAAAACTACCCAAATAACAACGGTACATTCTGTTACTAGACTACTGACCAGAGCTTGAGAATACAGTGTGACTAGGAGGAAAAGGGCGCAATACCATAACAATGCATTAACGTTAGTTAATATTAAACAAAACGCGCAAATTGCAAACACAGCCACTTTAAAACATCTAGCATACAATGGCATTCTAACAAATTCATATACTTAGAATTGCGCAGGTAAGTAATCCACTTAGCGAATCGAGATCAATCAATGATCGCATGAAATGATACATTATAATCACACTGAAGAGACATCCCAGGTGAGAGAGTGAACACGGTTACTTGAACACCGGCGGGCATGCCACTCGCTGCTGTCCTTCCAATTGCATCAATCGAAACACTGTTCAATAAATGTGCGCAGTTGCTCATCACTTCGGTATAACTTGCCTCATTAAGCACACTTGCTGCAATCATCATGATTGAAACAACGAAGATTAAGTATGTTTTCAGCGCATTTTCTCATTTATATAAATGGAAAAAAAGGCGCTCGTCATCCGTCCGTCCGTCCACTCACTGCAGTGAGTACTGATCTATTTTTTTCTTTAAGCGCACGCCTAAAGCATTACTTCAGACACAATAATTAAATTAATGAGATGAGCAGGCTCGGTAGACCTGCCATATTAAAGTTTACATCTGCATGCAGGGGTTCAGGAAGGAAGCGCAGGTTATGCGATGTCGGGCGCTGCGCCTCATATTGTCCAGAGGTACAGGCACGCGGAAAAGTTGACCTTCGGCGAGCGTGGTCCTAGTTTCATTAGCAGCAAGGTTTACTGGACCAGAAGAAACATGTGCTGGCGAGGTTTTGCTGCACACGCATAGCTTGTATTGACCTCTGTCCTTGGTGTGGTCCACGGGACCAGCCAATGGCAAGTTGTTAACCTCAACGAAAATACCGCCGGACCCGCCATCCAACACAAGTGAGCCATTCAGGGAGCGCAGGAAAATGTCTTCGTCAGCGCTCCATTCAATAGTTCGGCCTTCCATGGACACACCTTCGCTGCCCTTCAGGCGGATCTGATCATTCAGGAGGTTGTTAATACATGGCTGCACATGAGCATTTAATGCACTTCAAGGTTAAGTTTCATGGCTGAATTGCTGTTTATGTTATTTTATATTTTTATGACTAGATAAAATGTTTTCCACATCTTAAGCATTTTTTGCTTTATAGTTTTCAAAATTTCCTTCATATTTGTCTTCCATTGCGAATAACATTGAATATATTTTCAACAATTTTTTCTCTCCCTTAAAAAACTAGCAATGTGTATACTCTGATAATAGACTTAGCAAGTCAGCTTTCCGGTAACAATTTGCAACACCTACTCATTTAACCGGGCTGTGTTTTTTTTCACTGGGATATAGAAAATTCAATTTCATTTAACAGGGTTGGAACAAAATTAGAAATGTGTAAAATGTATAGAAATTAACCCACCGTTGAGTCTGCTCTGACCCTCAAGCTTGAGAAGGTTGGGCTTACAAAACGAGATGTCTGGGTTCGCTGCACCTGGAGGTTCTTCACCCCTCTGGGCACTCCAAAGCTCGGGTGAGCTGTACTGAACACAACCTCCCCAGACTGCGGCTCCACCACCTACAACCATAACATATTTTCAGTAGAAAACGTAAATTAGGTAAAAATATACCACTTGGACATTTTATTAAAGAATAAATCTCTGTTCATGATTCAAACTTTACTTTCAATATTCATATGCATATCTGACCATGAATCTTTCAACGTTGTGGATACGCAAAGCCTGTTGGGTGACGTGGATGGCTGGAGATGGCCGCACTGTATTCAAACCCACAGAAATCTGCCCAAGTAATTTAATTTTTTTCATGAATAGTCATCATAGAGAATGGCTGTTGCCCATTCAGTCATGAAAAGTTTTGGGAGATTTTTATATATAAAAATTAGGAGTTGAATTAAATAAAATTAATTTAATTTCAAATACTGACAGGGGTTTTACCTGGCTGTTGTCAGCAACAATAGACAGCGGTTCTCCTGCATAAGAAGACACAGCTCCATTCTGTTGCTGTATGATGCCTAGATCAGCCATGCCAAAAAACTTCAGCATTCGCCTATCGGGAGACAACATTTTTTAGCCATAGAATTGGATGAATATATGTGACACAGTAACTTACACTTAAATTTTCTCTTACAAATTAACGAGGTAAATATAATTATATCTCCATAAAAACAAAGCAAAGGCACACATGATTTTGAAAGTCCAAAAAATGTTTGCAAGACTAAAACTATCAGACAGGTTTTGTGTCAACCTGGATTCAAGCTACATCGCTGCTCAACCAATTTTTTTTTGCAAATCCCGCCATTATAGGAAATTAAGTCATGAGCACAATTGATATATGCCCAAGGTAGTCATGGGAAGGAAAGGTGTCAAATTTGTTAAGTAATGTTATAGATTAATGGATGAAGTCTTGCTTTACTAAAAAGTAATGATACAATGAATTTTATGCCAGCAGCGTTTTAAATCTGCACTTTCTGAAAGTGCATAAAGTCTGAAAAACAGACTTTCTGAAATTGAGAAAAGAAAATACAAAAAAACATGCCATCTTATTATTAAGTTACTTGCCACTTACTCATCGGAAGTGATAAACTCAATGCTCTCCATGCCGATTCCAAGCCTGAGCACGCCCATTGCAAAGAATGTGAGAGCCAGGTTGCCCAGAGCCAGAACAAGTAGCACCAACACCAGCAGCCAAAATATGAAGCTTCCATCATTTTGAACTTTTTCGGAAGCAACAACAGATCTGGAACAAAATAATCCTGTCTTAAAAAATATAGAGTACAATTTACAGATTAAGAAATAGAGGAACATTATTCTAGAATATATGTGCATTTATTATGTGTCATGTAGCAGATGAACTATCTACTTCAACTAGTCATGTATACAGAACAGTGCAAAAAAATTGCAAGCTCATAAACAAACCAATGCCCAACTCTCCAAGAAACCAACTCCCACAAGAATACCATGTACAAGCAAGAATTTTATTGCAACTAAGAAGGCAATAAACTTATTTAAAACATGAGGAACAATTTATTGATAGCAAATATCATATCAAAGCTGTCCAGTCCAATGGAATGGGTAACCACATGACAATGATGAGAGAACCTTACAAAACCGACACTGGCATGCACTAAACGATTTCCTTTTTAAGCAAGTGACTAGAGCTTTACTGCCATTTTTGCCATGAGCTCCCTGCGAGAGGAATTACCTCTATTTATTTGTTAATAAAATTACATGATTGGGCCTGTCTCACAAAGGAATAGGGTTTAGTGGAATTTTCTCATACAAAATGAACTTTGTGAAAGTAATGGTCCATGCTGTTTGTGCAGGACAATCTCAATTCAATAATTTTTTGCAGACCTCTGCAAAGTGTGAGTGGTGGCATTATTTGCAGTGCTGCTGCAGCTATAATTAAATGCCACTCATTGATTACTAATATGCTGTGTGAGACACAAATCATCAGTCATCCATCACACAGCTGCTGGCAGCAGCAGCAATCAAACTTTATATGGTTAAATTAATTAATACAAATGCTGCAACTATTGACACATGATGGCTTTGTGAGAAGACATGATTGCATCATCACATAGCTGCAGCTACTGGTTCCAGCAGTCATCACATCAAAAAATACATGGTTATTAATTGATATACATGCTTCACTATGACTATTGATATGTTGTGGCATTGTGAGAAGATATGATGGCGTCAAAGCATCAAACTCTATAACAAAACTGAATTGATCATCAAACCAAATCAATATAACCCAATACCATATAACCTAACCCAATTCCCCCAGCCCACTTCATCCCAAGTAAACCCTACACAATTCAATCAATAGTAATCAACACAACCAAATTTAACCAAACCCACTCCAACACAACATAGTATAATACACTAGATCGCATTAAAATGCAGAAGTTTGCATTAAAATGCACTAGATTGCATCAAAACACACTAGATTGCATTAAAATGCACTATATCGCATTAAACCCTACTGGATCACATTGAAACGCACTACATTGCATTAAAATGCACTAGATCACATTAAAACATACTAAATTGCATTAAAACGCACTGGATCACATTAAAATGCACTACATCACATTAAAACACTCTACATTGCATTAGAGCAAACTACCATGTTGCATTTAAACGCATCAGATCGCATTAAAATGCAATATTCCGCACAAAAACGCGATATCTCGCATTAAAATGCACTAGATTGCATTAGAACTAATGCAATTTCAATACTAGATCTAATACTATAATGCTAATTGCGTTCTAATGCATCTAATCTACATATTTCATGCTATTTTTGGAGCCACAAAAATAAAGATTCTAGCTAGACAAACATGCTGTAAAGTAAGGCCTTTTAGCTCGAGATATTGGCGTCTTTTCAAGCTTTTCATCAGCCACCTCGACCTTAAATTGGCGTTTATGACCGATCATAAACTATAGATCGATCGTCCATGATCGTCCAGCAAACCTTCACTTCCAGGATCAGAGGGATGGAAGAGTTGAACTACTGGGAGAGGTTGAGGCGCCTGGGTCTGTACTCACTGCAGAGGAGACGGGAGAGGTATGTCATTCTTTACACATGGAAAATGATGACTGGAATGGTGCCAAACTTCGAGGGCGAGACCTTCAGGATTGAGACATATCACAACGAGAGAACGGGGAGACTGTGCAAGATCTCCCCATTACGTAACAGATCCGCAGTCAGATTTCAATCCCTGCGGAAAGGATCACTTTCCCTGGCAGGGCCAAGGCTGTTCAACGTCCTACCAAAGGATCTAAGAGAGGGGGAGTACACCCTGGAGACCTTCAAGAGACAACTGGACGTTTTCCTGGGCACAATCCCAGATCGACCTCCCCTGCAACACTACCAGCGGCAAGAAGCAAGCAACAGCATCGTGCATCAGGTGGCCCAAATGAGGGCGGATGAACGATAATCAGAAGCGGCGATCCATCGTGGCCTGGGACTGCTATGTCCCAAACAAGTGCCAAGATTACCAAGAGTACCAAGATTACCAAGACCGATTGTAAACTATGGGTTGAATGAGCAACACCACAGTCATTATGCGCATCTTCAGCTTGTTTTGTTGCTTGTATCTGTTACCCGATTGTTATGAGCGTACATCCGCTGCTATTACTGAATAAACTGTTCTCTAATCCAACCACAATCTGCTGAAAGCACATGATAGTTCTAATACGTTCTAGTGCCCCCGATCTCTGCCGCGTCTACGTCGTGGGGGTACCCTGGCCTGAGCGTCGGCCGGATACCCGGCATACACGTGGGCCAGGCCAAACGGCAGAGGCCCCCCCGCCCGGATCGCTACCGGACGGAGGCTCCTTCACTTTTTCTTCTAAGGGCAGGGGAACCTCGGCCTCCCATTCCCCCTACCCACATCTTTGGCCGCCTATCTTTCCTGGGGCTCCTTGTGTCCTTCTCTCCTCCCATCTCTTCTTCTTACTCGTTCTTCTTCTCCTGACCCAGGGTATCCACCCCAACCCGGGCCCACACCCCTGCTCGGTCTGCTCCCTCCCAGTCACGTGGCGTGGATATTCGTTCCGGTGCTCCAGGTGCAACGCCTGGACCCACAAGCGATGCTCCGGCCTGCGCTCCATTAGTCTCTACTCCGAAGATTGGATCTGCCCTACGTGCAGACGGTCTGACCCGTTCCCAGCCAGACCCTCCTCCCCCTCGCCCCCCCGCCCCCCCCCATGCTGGCCCCCTCCCACCTCTGCGTCCTCCAGTTCAACTGCAACGGGATTCAATCCAGTGCGGTTGAACTGGTACTTACCTCGCTAAGAACGACGTGGCGGTTGCCTGTCTCCAAGAGACCAAGCTATCACCTGCATCTCGCCCCCACTCTTTCCCCGGATACGAGCTGGAGCGCAGGGACCACCCCGGTGGTCACGGTGGCGGTCTCCTCATCCTGATTCGCCACGATGTCTCGTACACCGGGCAAGACATCTCTCCCCTCCTACGCGGCGACACCACAATGGAGGCTATAGCTATTTCCACTCCTCTTAAATGGTTCCCCTCTTTGCATCATCAATGTTTATATCCCTTCAGCCTCCTCCTGCCCCCCGGGATATTCCCCGGAACTTTCTGACATAGTCTCCATACCGGGCGACTGTCTGATAGTTGGCAATTTTTTTTTTACTAATTTTTTTTTTAACCTTCCTGGTTCTCCCACACGGATGACTAGAGAGCCGCAGCGCAAGGAGCCGTAGTCGACGACCTCGTCGCCGGTTCCTCCCTTGCCTTCCTCAACGAGGATTCCCATACCCGCCTCCCCTCCCACGGCCCACCCTCCTCTCCGGACCTCGCCATCATCAGCGATCATCTACTCCTCGACACCTTCTGGACTCCTCAAGTCGCCCTTAACTCAGACCACCTGCCCATCCTGATTCATCTCCCTTCCTCCGTCGACTCTCCGACCCCCCGGGCTGCCTGCTCATACGTCAACTTCAAAAAAGCTGACTGGCCCGCCTACAAGGCAGCAATCGAAACGGCACTCCAGATGGTCCCTCCCCACCTCGTGTGGCGGTGAGTCGACCTTGAGGGAAATCTTGACGACTGCTGCCAGACAGCATATCCCTGCCGGTTTCCGGAAGGATTTCTCCCCCTCGGTCAACCCTGGCACCCGGTTGCTCATCGAGCAACGGGATGACATCAGGGCACGTAATCCAACAGACCCCCGGCTCCCAGAACTCAACCTGGAAATTAGTATTTCTATTCAGGTTCACTCCAGAAACACATGGCGAACACACCTTGCGTCATGCTGCAGGCGCACAAACCAGTCCAAGCACTGGAATCTCCTTCGCTCCCTAGCTGGAAAGCGAAACCGCCCTCCCCCCAATCAGCCAATCCAATTTGGTCTGAATACCCTTTCTTCTCAGCGCAAGATCTCTTCCGCCTTCTGCAAGTTATTTACTTCGATTGCCCCCCCCACTCCCAAAGCTCCTCCACCCGCCGCCTCATACGTCGAATCTGGGCTGAATATCCCCTTGACAGGAACTTCTCCCCGTTCACACCCGACATGGTGAAGCTCGCCATCGCTGCCGCCAACAACTCCTCCGCCCGAGGCCCGGACGGCCTCACGGTCCTTCATTTCAAGCACTTCGGACCACGCGGCATCCAGTTCCTCACCCGCATTTTTAACATCTCCGTCGCCACAGCCTCTATCCCATCCATTTGGAAAAATTCAATCCTCAAACCGGGTAAACCCAGTAACCAGGGCTCTTCATACCGCCCGATCTCCCTCCTCTGCCCTGCAGCCAATATCCTAGAGCGTCTTGTGCTCCCCTATATTTTAGGATCCCTCACCACCATCCCCTCGCAACATGGTTTCAAACCGGGACACTTCACTGTCACCGCCCTCCTCCCGCTCACGCACCAGATCACGACTTTAACTCTCGGTGCCCTCCAGCCCGCACTGTCGCCGCGGCAGTCGACCTCTCGAAGGCCTTCAACAGCGTCGACCACCCTCTCCTGAGCATGATTGCGGCCTCGGACCTACATCACAACCTGGTCCGCTGGCTGTGCTGCTACCTCCGAGGCAGGCAGGCATCTTGCCTCTACCTCAGGAGTCAGGACTCAATCGCCCTTCAGAGCCATCCACTCAGGCGTTCCCCAGGGCTCGGTGATCTCGCCGGCCCTCTTTAACCACTTCATCTCCGACATCCCAGTGCCTACCCCCAATATCGCCTCATACGTGGACGACCTTACCATCTTCGTGTCGTCCCCGAGGCTAGACGCTGCGGAGGCTGAGCTCGCCTTGCTCCTTCATAGCGTCTCAGACTGGTCGGCTGTCAAGAAACTGGCCGTGGCTCCTGGCAAGTCCTCGGTCACGCTCTTCACCCCAGATACGCACCAATCCCGATACCACCCATCTGCCACCATCTGCAACGGCATCATCCCACTGGACAAAACCCCCAAAATCCTAGGCGTCACCTGGGATACACACTTCACTTTCTCCCCTCATGCAAGAGCCATAGCCACAACAGCGACGGGTTCTCTTCGCATCTTAAAAGCCCTTGCTGGCACCAACTGGGGCTGCTCCAAGGAGGACATAATTGCCACCTACCGTACCATCACGCGTCCTATTCTCAACTACGCGGACCCCATCTGGTATTCTGTTGCCTCTCGTACAGCAGTTGTCAGCCTGCAGATTATACAGAATACTGCATTGAGACTAGCCACCGACTGCCTCAAAATGGCCCCGATCTCCCATCTGCACCAAGAGACCGGCGTCCTCCCTCTGTCCGCGCAGGTAGACCTGGCTTGCGACCAGTTTCTCGCCAGCGCCCTCCAGCCCTCCCATGCCTCTTTTCACATGGTTTCTGCCCCTCTCGGCGACCGCCCTATGAAAGCCTCAATACAGTCGAGGTTCGGTCATCTTGTCACACCACTCTTGGCAAATGGTCTCTTGCCTGCCGGGACATACGGAGAAGCTAAGCGGTCTCTCCCGCGTTCAGTCCCGCGTTGCGGCGACTGACGCCATAAGCGCCGTACTTGCGGCCTCGCCACCGCCGATTGCTTCAGTGGAGGCCTCACTCCCTCGCCCCTACCGCTCAGCGTTATCCCAGCTCCGCTCGGGATACTGCAGCTACCTGGCGTCCTATTCCGCCAGGATCGGACGCTCCCCTAGCTCCGCCTGCCCGGAGTGCGGGGATCCCCTCCAGTCCATTCAGCACCTCTTCGCTTGTCCCGTCTTCCCCACGTATCTCAGTGTCTCCTCACTGTGGGACAACCCCGTGGAGGCAGCGGCTTTCTTGGCCACCCTCCCTGCCTTCGCCCATCTCCCCTCTCTTCCAGTGCCAGCCCCCCGCCCTCCACCAGAGCCTCCCTGCCGGCGAGCGTGACGGTCGCAACTAACAACAACAATACGTTCTAGTGCATTCTATTGCAATCTAATGCAATCTGTTGTGTTCTATGGCAATCTAATGAGCTTAATGAAATATAATATGTTTTAATGCAATCTAATGCGTTCTAATGCAATCTACTGTGTTCTTCTACAATCTATTGCTTTTGAATACACTCTAATGCATTTTGATGCAATCCAGTGCACTCTAAAATGTTTTAATGCAATTTAATCCGTTATATTACAATTTATAGCGATTTAATGCAATCTCATGCATTCTAATGCAATTTAATACATTCTGATGCAATTTAATATGTTCTAATGCAATCTAATGACTTGTAATGCACGCCAATGCATTATAATGCAACCTAATGCATTTTAATGCGACCTGATGCATTTCAATGCAATCTATTGTGTTCTAATGAAATCTGATGCATGCTAATGAAATCTATTGTGCTTTAATGTAATCTAATGAATTCTAATGCTATTTAATTCAATATATGGACTTCTTATGTAATCTAATGCATCATAATGCAGTTCAATGCATTCTAATGTAACCTAATATGTTCTAATGCATTTTAATACAATCTCATGCCTTCTAATGCAATCTCATTCATTATAATGCAATCTCATACACTGGGTTGAAACAGGTTGGGTTGTATTAAATGGGTGGAGTTAAATTGGGTTGAATTTGGTAGGGTTGAATTGGATTGGTTTAAATTGGGTTGGGTTGAATTGATTTGGGTTAAATTAAATAGGGTTGGGTTGAATTAATTTTGGTTAAATTAATTTGGGTTAAATTGATTTTTGTTAAATTGATTTGTGTTTAATTGGGATGAATTGGGTTAAGTTGAATAGGGTTGGGTTAAATTTAGTTGGGTTCCCCAAGCCGTTCCTGGGGAACGGCTTGGTTTGGATTGCATAAGGTTGGGTTTGTTTGTATTGGGTTGGGTTGAATTCAGTTGGAATCAATTGGATGAGATTGAATTGGGTTGGCTTAGGTTTGATTCAATTGGTTTGGGTAGCACTTGTTTGGGTTAGGATGAATTGGATGGGGTTGGGTATGCACTAGGGCTTGTAATTCAGGTGGCTAAACTAGTGAGACTAATGTTGTCTGTTTTTATCTGAAAACAGAATTCTCAAGTTTTTAATCAAATTATTTATCACAAGCTGCTATGCTATCTATCATCAGTGCTGTGAGGCTCTCTTAACATGAGCACTTAATTATATGCACTCCTTGGAACTAAGGAGTGCATATAATTAAGTACCTGTACGGCTGTACCTGTCATTGGAACTAAGCACTACAGCACGTAGTTTAGGTGGCTGTGAGCGCCTTTACTTGGGTACTCAAATATGTATGCTCGCAGGCTACAACCACCGTAACTATGCACTACAACTTGTAGTCCCAATCGTAGCGTGTTGATAAATGTAGCAAATCGGCCATATTGATCATATATGCAATTTATAGAGAAGCATAAAGCTGCATAATTGGCAAATGGCAACTGTCATCCAGTGGCATCCAGCTCAATCTTATCTTGGCATCTTGGTACTATGAAGTCAGCGTCTTTGACTTATGTTATGCCATGCTTTACACTTTTTATAGTCTGGCTAGACAAATTAATTCTTCTATAATTGTTAACAAAAGTACATGATCATGAAACTCATTAAACCATTATGCCATGTCTTACAGCCTGGCTAAACAAATTGACTCCAATGTAATTGTTAGGAAAAGTACAATAAATAAGTACATGACTGCAATTCTGCAAATTCATAGATAATTAGCCACTTTGGAGCAGCAAACATTTCATTCACAAGTAGAAAAATTCTAATCCTGCACTAGATTGACTAGAAGAATTATTCCCAATGATCCAATCCAATTTTTAACAAAAGAGCTGACTCAGCCTGAGAGCACAATTAAGCCATAGAGTTCTGAATTAATTTTAAATTTTACATTGGATTGGAGATTTGGAGCTGCAAGATTTCTGAAATAAATAAAAATTTTAGCATTATTGATCAACACTGTAATTCATGTTTAAACACATTATGCAAATATATTATATGTAAAAAGTAATTTTATATTCTGTTATCAAGCAAACCGAATGGCATGATGATGAAATGCTAATTGCTAACCTGTACTGGGCTTGAAGTTTTCGTGCACTGCAACGAGTTAGAGTGGCTCTCTCTAAGCTGCTATCAGCCACTAAACCATCGTCAACAAGTCGATTCATGTGATTATGGTTAGTCTTCTCCGCATTCGACTCATCACACTCTTCATTCTCATTCATAGAAGCAGTGCTGCTAGAATCTATGACTTCGACAACTTCGTCGGTTGCCATGGCGATCTATATATTGACAGTGGATGACTAATACTAATTTGCGGAAAGATTCAATAATTTGTCTTTTAGCGGATATAAACAATATAACATATCTGATCATTTCATAATAAATTTCATTTCATCAGCATATCAGTCATCAGTATAGCACTCATCGGTATAAAACTCATCAGCATAGCACTCATCAGTATAGCACTCATCAGCATAGCACTCATCAGTATAGTACTCATCAGTATAGCACTCATCAATATTATTTGTACGAACAATAATTTTCTATAAACTGTAGTAAAATTAGTTAGCTTAAAGTAAACAGAAGCGTACAAAAGAACTTCATTTGCAGCGTAATACGACCTGATTTGACAGATCATCAGCAGACTAGGAACTGAATCCAAGGTTCATCAATATGCAAATTTTTTTACCATTCATAATAGGTAACAAAAAATACACAGATTTCTCTACCTAAGATAGCCTGCCATAAGTACACGTGAGGCCATAAAGAGACCTGTGGCTGTATCGCCTCCTTGTGGGAGTTTCATGTGTTACAAAAGGGGCTGTGTGAGATTTTTTTCATTGTTGGGAGATTATAGGTGAGCAATCACTGATTAATAGACTGGTTTTCATAGAAAATACTCTAATTAGATCCTAGTAATTTCATCCCTACTTAATAATGATGAAGAATGGCAAAATTTTACGACATGAGGAAGAAACGTTGACTCACGGTTTAAGAGCACTGCTTCCAATTGAAATGACAAATACGCTCTAAAATTCTGTTAGTTAAAATATTTTAGTTCGTCAAATGCTGAAAGAAATTGTCAATTTTTGACGATTGATGCGTTTTCTCTATCATTTTTAGCGCTAGCAATTTTCTGTTCGACTGCAATGTCGTGACAGCAGATAAGATTCCAATTATTGTCTAACACTTAATGTGACGTCAATTGGCAGGTGTTAAGTGGTGTGTGAGTCATTTGATTATCTTACCCCTCCCATTATGTATCTGAAATGTATTATGAAAAATAAAAAAAAAGCTTCTGAAACAATGTGAACGCTTGAAATCAGAAACGCTTATTCCAAATTATTTTGAGCCTTAAGCGATTCAACTTGCTTCGTGCAATGTCCCTAATTACGGGAAACCACGAGTAATTACTTCAATAGAGCATTGAAGAGCATGGGCGTTGAGAATATCTGAAGTAAGTTGTTATCATTCGTTCAAATTGTAAGGAACAACCGATAAGCTTCCTGAGTACGTGTTCAAACAATTCATACATGTTAAATATTTTATCAGATGTTTATCGACAAATAAACAAATAAAGAAGAAAAAACAAATTACATAACCCTCCAAGATAAATGGAACTTTTATAAATGGTAACCTCGGCGTGATCTTTAGTTATTCACATAAGACTATGATCCGTGAATTAAGTTCGATTCGAGAGCTTACGATTTTTCCTGTAGTTAAAAAATGCATAGGGTAACATGGGGCAGCGAGCCCACTGCGGGTCATGGGCCCATAGCGGGTTTCTCGCTAAGTATGGCAGATATTGGTCCGTGTTCTCTACCGCCGGTCGGCAGTTTCACTGGGATGAAGTGTACGGATTTACGTTTTGCTAAATATCTTATTTTTAACTGTAAAGTGTTGTTTTATCATTTTTAAACGAAAAATATGCAATTGTGGTAAAGGGACCAAGGGTGGGTGCCTTGCCCCAAGCCCATGGGCCCATTGCCCCAGGGGTGGGGCAATGGGCCCATTTTGACACTTTTTACAAAATAGTGTTTCATTAAAAATTGAATAACTCTATAGGCGTCTAATTCACATCATACATTCCTCATTAGTTGCACCTTTAAACAAAACAAAAAACCATCTCGTATAAATTAAAACTTCATCAAAAATTTAGTTTGAAAAAAGTGGGGGGCGCGCTGCCCCACGTTGCCCTACGATCTTGGCATGTAAGCATTCATTTGACTTTCGATAGTAATAGCGCTTCTATTTTTAATAATCATTCTGTACAGAGAGTTATTGAATAAGTTTTTCACGATATGTACATACGTATGATAAACATACATGACATAATAAGTGCCATAATTTATTGAAGTCAAATGTTCGTAGTATTCCACATATAAAAGATCACAACGTGCCCGATAAAATCTTCATATTTTGGAAATGCTCATTTGTGTTGCATCAATGCTTAATCATGTAGCCTTAATGAATGTGTAATGAAAAACCTTTTAATGAATAGAATGAATGCCAATATAACTCAATAATTGATGTTGTAGCTAGCGCTGGAACAGCAATAGTCGAGAAACTCTTATTTAGTACTTTGGAGTTTGAACTTCACTCAGCTCCGCGAACAACGAAAAAATATAACAAAATCTTACATATTCCTTACTGAGGCTTATTTTTTACCGAGAGCATTTCCTCCTTCCCGGGCACGGCCATTTGGCGAACGCCCATCGAGGGTATAATTTCCACGCTTTTCCCTATAGTAAATATATTGACGTCATGAGTACATTTGGGTACTGTGTTTTGATCTAAGATTCCAAATCATCTGCTGAATATATTCTGGGTAATCCAACAAGTGCCCCGTGCAGGGTCATTTCAATCACCACAAAACGGACAACAGCAAGAAGATATTGATAGAATATCTTCATCGTAATATATGTATATATTTATATTTAGGATTTGCTGTATAATACCGCGGAATGCTGCGTATTTTTAACGAGGTCTCATTTAAATGGAGTTTTCAAGTTGATATAGATAATAATGAAAATGCATATTGCAGCATAGTTCCGGGCTAAAATAGTGTTGCTAGGCTGGATGTTGCGCCAACATTTAGTCAACTGTCAGAAAAATATGCGTTCTCAGGTTGCCAAAGATTTAAGTTAACCTTAACAATTTCTAGAATATGTTTGATAGGACAAGGAGCGGCCAGCTATTTTTAGAGTCCTTCTGAGAAACTGCTGCCGGAAAGGCGTAAACAAGCTAGCTCTGCCCATAGTTGTATTAATTAAACCATGGCTCTGCCGATCTGCTATAGAGCAGAAACCAAAAATTACCTGAATTAGCTTGCTAAACTATGAACCTTTTCTTTTAACCATCCAAGACAAACTTAATATTAGTCAAAACTTTTAGCCGAACAAGGCTTTAGATAGCAAAACAAAATTGCTTTTCGGTGATTTGCAAATTTCATGCACCCCTTGCCAATGTTTATTCTGCTCATGAACACAAGATATCGGTTTCCAACTCTGTTGCGGCACTGCTGGCTCCTGGTGGTAGACTGGTTACTGCCAGTAAGCAGTAAGTTAAGCAGTAAGTACCAGTAAGTTACTGGTAGTGGTAGCGCCGTTGCCGCCGCACCGCTGCCGCAGGCTCGCAGTCGCAGGCTCGCAGCCGCAAGCCAGTTGCCGACTGGTTGCAGGCTCGCAGCCGCAAGCCAGTTGCCGACTGGTTGCCAAAACAGAAGGTTGTGTAGTTGCGCCGCTTATAATTTTTGCTCGTTATCAACATCACCATGTCGCGAGATATTGCTGCCGATCAGCTCAAGCTATTCAAGAGCTCTGCAACTGTAAGTGAAGTAGAAATTAGATTTAGAGAGTCAGCTTGAATAGTAAATTGATGTTTGATCTTTCTTGCTCCTGCTAACAAATAAAAGTTGGTTGGGGAACTAATTTAACTAGTTCATTTGTTTTTAATTTGTACTGAACCGTGAGTAGTTTTAGGAGATAAGGTTACATATTTCCGTTTTTAAATGTTTGAGGCTGAGGTAGCCTATGTTGCTTCAAACGTTCGTTCATGCCTACTACTAACATATGTTTGCGTCTGATACAGCTGTCTGTTAGTGTTACGATGTCGGTCAAGTCCTACTGGTACAATGATACTCTACTTTTGACTATTTGTCATTCGAAGATTCTGTGCTTGCAAATTGTAATGGTAAAGCCGTGATGTTCCATTGATGTATGATTTCTTCTGTACAAAAATTTCGTGTATTTTTGCCAGCGAAATGTGGTTCTCTCGTATCACGCTTTGCGTTGTATGTAAATCATTGACCACCTTTAGTGCACACAGTCTAAATAGTTCAATGGACTTGCTAGGACACTCACACTGTCACACACATCACATACTTAGGGTGCTGGGTGACGAATGATCACATGGATCATTCCATTTGCATGGATCGATTCCATTTGATCATGGAATTGCTATCTTCATCTAAAATACAGTTCTTTGATAAATAATGTACTTAAAAATCGTGTATTAGTTCACATTTTCCTAATCTGAAACGTGAGTATAATGCCGTACTATTGTGCCGTCATTTCTTAAGGCTAATCGTACAGTTGGCTGCACTATGTGTATCTCGCCCGACACAACAGGCTACATGTGAAGCTTGCAGCCTACGTGGCCTGCAAGCTGAGAACGAATTTGCACGTGCGTGAAGTTTTGGAGCGAGTCTAATGGATTCTTCAGCTGCTTATGCCGTTCTTTTGTTGTCTCATACAGGCAGGCTAATGACTTTAGGCGGACAACAGAAGCTAAAATTAGCCGATCCTGCTAGAATTTAACCTTTAACGAGGATTTTTTGACGTTCTTGTCACTGTTTCCAGTTGACATACTCAAATTAAAACTCGGCAGCTCACTGCAGCAGAACTGTTCGTACAGTAACGCCTATTGTGTTTTCCTGGAATTGGTCCTAATTTCGTGACTTGTCGAGCTAAGAATGGAGTTCGCAGAACGCCTTTGAGATGCTGCCGGTAAGAGCCTTGCGAGCATCGGTGGTTATGGTGATTTCACGAGTAAATGCAATCGTTTCCAATTCAAGCTTACTATATCGCATGTCCTAAACAGTGTACATCGAATATTGCGTTCAGAGTTCACCCGTCCGCGTTACAATCTCTGAGGACATATAGTTTTATACAGTTTTCTCGTGTCTGAGTTATTTCTGGTTATACTAGAAGTTCGATAAAAAATGTTGTACTAATTAAATTTATTAAATGTTGATTAATTAAGTTATTAAACGATTCATTATAGCGATGCAACGATAAAACAAGACGTGAATAAGAAATGCGTTACAAACTTTGATGCAAAAAAAAAAAAAGACAAAAGTTTGTTCTTTGGATGTAACACATTCGTGGAGATTGTTATGTGATTTTGCTGATTCTCAGTTCGATTTCATATCTTTATCTGCGAACACACTACACCACTCACTCAACTATGTACATTACATCTCTGAAAATTTAAAAGCGAAGAAAATTCAACACCAATTCACCATATCTCTTCTGAAAACATTCCGGAATCCAGCTCCATCGTCCATTCCAAAAATCGGAGCCGGAAAAATCGAACCGAAACTAAAAATCGTTTCAGAGCTGGACGCCGAAACGTTTTTGACAAAGATATGTTGAATTTGTGTGGATCTTTTTCGATTTTAAATTTTTTGTGAATTAACGATTTAAGCAATCTGTTGACATTAATACTTAAAAACATCTCTAACAGCAGACAACTTCCATGACTCGCTTTTTCGATTCAAGCAATTCATCAACACAATAGATCATGAATTGACAACATGGATACTAATAATATGTCGACACCTATTGGTACAACAAATAAATATGCTATATTTTGAACATCAACAAATAAACATGCGTCGTTTTGATCTCTGAACCTGAGAACCGTCTACCGCCCTGTACAGGAAAAGGAATCATGCCCCGGATCGCTCACGACGAGCTCCGGCTGCCCAGTGGGCGACAAGCTCAACTCCCTGAGCATCGGCCCGCGCGGTCCTCTGCTGCTGGAGGACCTGCAGTTCTTGGACGAGATGGCCCACTTTGATCGGGAGCGCATCCCCGAGCGCGTGGTGCACGCCAAGGGCGGAGGTGTGTTATTGTGACGATGTATCAATTGTTTCATGTCTTTATTTATTTTTATTAAGTGCGCCGAATGTTTGGTTTGGTTGGGCAAAAGATTAAAGTTTATATAGCCCACGCATTAGTTTATTGATGGACAACCATGTAACATTACGAAAATAAACTGTTCTATTATAACTCCCAAACAGGTCGGTCAATCGAAGCGAAATTCAACGGGTCAATTAAAGCTTTGATAATTTTAGTTTAACTTTCCCTAATTGAGTCATGGCTGCAGATATTACATTTTTACTTGGCGCAATCTTAGAGTTTTATTAAACTTTATTGATACTGAAAAATCTGTATGAAAATAATCTGTTCAAATGAATGACGATATGAATTTTTGTCCGAATTTTGATCCCGTGAATGATTATAAAAAGTTGATCAAGAGGCATTGCCAGGAAATCTTTCGCACGGATAGTAACGCATTGAGCTGACAGCGGCAGCATCGTGTGCACATGCAGGCTAGTCAACTGAGCTGCGCTGCGGAGTGCAGTGGAGCAAGCCGACGTGACCTCCGAAACTGCGCTCGAGAAATGTAACCGCATTTTTTCTTCGCTCGACGTTCGTTGAGTTGGTGGCTTACGTATTGAGCAGCGTCGAGTCACGTCGCTGAAGGCGTTCAATTCCATGACCAGATATCGAGGCTCCCGTCGTTGTCGTAGACAACTTCGCTTTTAAAACTCGTATAAATGAGCTAAATTTTTACGTTCATCTCGACTGTATTTTCTCCATGCCTGCACACGATTTCAAAATAATTAAATAAAGTTCCAGGCTAAAAGAATGTTTTTTTTTTGCAAGGGATATTATATAAGGTTGAAGACTATCGGTTTAAATGGCCACCCCACCCTGAGCTGTAACCTTGAGGTTGCCCTCTAGACCGTTCGTCGCTTGCCGGCACGGCGGCGTCCGTCCGGTTCACAGACTTTCTTGACGCTGAACGTTTTTTGGGGAACTTTGTGCCTCCACTGGAACCTTTACTTGCACATTCCTTAACTGCTCTCGAATAAATAAAGATGAAGTCTAATACCTATGTTTTAGACAATTAAAGATAAAAAGTTGAAATAGAGGCAAAAGAATTAAGCATGCTCAGTCTTAGAAGCTAGATTAAATTTTTCTGCATAAAACACAGTAGAATTAAAGTTTACTTTAATCGTATTGCTTCTCTGTGCTCTGGGTATTTTGTGCATTTAGGTAAATTTCAACATTATAAATTAAAACAATTTACAGTCCACTGTTTCTTGAGAGGAAACTAACGCTCCTGTTTGATAACTGTCCTTTTCCGAGGCTAGCACGATGCGGATTTTTTTTTTAATTTTTGTTTAATTAATTTTTTTTTTAAATTAATGTTTTTGCAGGATCCTCAAGTCTTTAGCGGTGCATTATCAATGGTAACTACACTTGGTTATATCTTATATGTTCTAATAAAATCTTATATAGCTTATTGCTGAAACGATGTAAAAAGTCTTTCCCAGAGAAAATGATTTCTGTGTTAATTCCCACAACAAGCCGCGCATCTTATCAGCCTGATAGCTCCTATCTTTGTCACTTCGTACCTCTCGTAGGCACTACTTGATGCTGCATCCAAGAAGAATGAGTTTCAAGTAACACATACAATCTGATGAATTAATAGTAGCATATAAAATCGTCAAGCGAAACAGCAAATCATATTGAATGCTCCCGCTTTTATGAAAAGATTAATTATAGGTTTGGTTCTATAAAATCGGGTCTATGTAAATGTTTCGATTATGCATATGCACGGAATTGCACTGCAAGCTTGCCGTCGGGATGTAGCGACGCCATTGTTTTTCCAAAGTCAATTTTAGAAGAGAAAGCTGCTTCATCATCCTACGAACGAATGTAAGCGAGCCACTCATGCTTTCTAGCGGTCTGAACGAACGACTCCTGCTGTTGCCATGCGCGCATGCGCAGTGCAAGGCATGATGCATCAACTTCATGCGCGCTGCTTGTCTCCTGCCAAAGGAAAACTGTGCACCCAGACTAATTTTTCCTCGTATCAGTACGTAGCTTCATCTGGATTGCACTGGGTTGGTCCGTTGAAGAGACTATACATAATAATCAATGCAGAAGTGCCAAACGTTTCCCTGTTCTCGAATTTTAATAATGCAGTTCAGTCATTCGTAAATTGATATGTTTGAATTGTGGAAATTTATCTTCATTAGGATATTTTTAAAGCTAAAATTAGTTTTGAATGAATCGAATTGCAAAAAAAAAATAATGTTAGAATTATACGGAATCCTTGCTGAGGTTTCTCCTGATTGTGAATTAATGCTTACTTTAATTTTTTATAATTGTTAAGTTGATTCTTATATCTTACTCAGACACGGGTTAATTTGTTCATCTTAGCACGCTTACCTAAGCAAAACCCGTAACTTCAACGCAATGTTCTAGCTCGCTTCATTGTAGGTATCAGCGCTGAACGTTAAGGTCTTGGGTTTTCCCGTCGAGCAATGACGGTTTTGTCGCTTTCCTTCTTCGCCGTGACTCGACAGTTCTTTGTGAGGAGCTGCCGTAGGCTACAGACTTTTTTTTATTGAAGCGGCTGAGATTTCTTTCCTTTTAGGTGTACCACAACGACTGCGAGGGGAACATTTAGCTCCCATTCGAATGCACTATTTTTTGGACGCAATGTATATTTTTAGGAGGGATTCATATAGCGAGAAAAGGAACGAGTTTATTATAAGGTAAATTATATCAACGCTTTAAAATATACGCTGTAAATCACAATTTAAGGACATTCTGTAATTTTACATTAATGTGCGTGGTTTTTTTCGTGCGTCCATGCACCTAGCCAATGAGAAGAGTGTAAGCCCAGTGTTAAACTAATAACTCATTAAAAAACAGTTTATGCATAACAAGTTCTTGAACTTAATGACTACCTATAGCATTAAATTGCCTCTTCAATCATTACAGGTGCGTTCGGAACGCTGGAGATCACGCACGACATAACCAAGTACTGCAAGGCTGCCGTGTTCAGTGAAGTGGGCAAGAAGACGCCCCTCGCCATCAGGTTCTCCACCGTTGGCGGTGAGAGCGGATCAGCCGACACTGCCAGGTGGGTGTACAGTACAGCCCATGCATGCCTAATGTTAAGCCTTGAACCTAGCATCTGCCTGATTAAGGATTGGCGTTCAATTCCATGACCAGATATCGAGGGCCCGATATTTCGTTGTTTTTCCCCGAGAGGCCTATTTTTCTCGATGGTTGTTGGTTGAATACTGACCAAATCTGTACGTTCCATTGTTGCTTTAAAGTTACATGAACGTGAACGAATGTAATCGATTTCCCACCCCTAGCTACCCGTGTCACTATCGTAATTCCCTCTCACTAGATTGTCCTGTCAATTTATTTCGAAATTGAACCTTGTTCCAATCGATCTTCGTATTTATGATCATAAATTTTTTCTTAAGGGATCCTCGTGGATTTGCGATAAAATTCTACACTGAGCAAGGTAACTGGGACCTCGTGGGGAACAACACTCCGATCTTCTTCATTCGGGATCCTGTGCTCTTCCCTTCCTTCATCCACACGCAGAAGAGAAACCCTGCCACGCACCTTAAGGTGAGTGGCTTCTGAGTGTGCTTGAAACTGCCTCTGACGATGGGATTTATTTCTTTTGTGAATGAAGAGCCCGCAGTTATGTTGAAATTACTGATGCGTGAGACTCTGATGAATAGAACTCAGCATGGAGCTTCCTTTGCCCTTTTTATTGATTTAAGGAAAAAATACATTCCATTTTATGTTAAAAATGCAATTGTAAATAATGTGATTTTAAAAATATGGAGAAAAGTAAAGAAATACGGGTAATTTCGTGAACCAGAGCACATTTAACGTTCTATGCTTCTTTGTCATGCATAATTTTTTTTATATTATGCACTCGCGTAATTTTCGATGTAAAAATACCCACTTCAACGAAACGAAACGAAAAACGAAATTCAACCGACTTGCTGTAAACCATGGTTTCCCTAGGACCCTGATATGATGTGGGACTTCATCAGCCTGCGACCAGAGACCACTCACCAGGTGTGCTTCTTGTTCTCTGACCGCGGCACCCCCGATGGCTTCCGCTTCATGAACGGCTACGGCTCACACACCTTCAAACTCGTCAACAAAGAGGGCCAGCCCGTCTACTGCAAGTTCCATTTCAAGACCGATCAGGGCATCAAGTACGGCTCAGTGTTTATAATTTTTTTTTTCAGTTACGTTAGCTATGCTAATGTTCGGTCGTGCCGGAGCACTAAATCCATAGGTCAGTTTTCTGACCAAGATTTGAAGTACGATTGTATTTTGTCGAATACTTGTATTGCAGGTCAAAGGTCCTCGTATAATTCTCTCTACTGCTCGTTTATTCCAAAAAATGATGAAGGAATTATGCGAAGAAATGTTTTTTCAACTCGTCTTCTAGTTAGCTGCGCCTTAGTAGCGTCATTTCGCTCATCGTCACTGACGCCAGTTGCTCATAATTTCTTCTCACTGGCCTAGTGACGAACTATATTCTGACGAAAAACGAATAATTAATTCTCAGTGGAAATATTGAAACACTGAATGTTAATTCAAGTTTAAAATAATTCAATCAGGTAATATCACTTAATTTAATTTAATCACATTATGACTGGTCCTAAAAACACCAGTTCAATAGCTGAAGTATATGATTGAACTAGATTAATAGAGGCATTCGTTGGGGTATGTGTCATTCTGTTTAATATCTTCTGGATTTGTCCTTAATTTGCGGCTGGTCTTACTGAACAGAGTGGATATCACTCGGATGAGCTTGTTATCTGGATAATCACGAGTAGAAAGAACTCGGATGAGCGGCAGAGTATATGGCACACGGATGACATTCAAGTTCATAATTTTTGTTTGGTTGCAGGAACTTGTCGGCGGAGCGCGCGACCGAGCTGGCAGGCACCGACCCCGACTACTCCATCCGTGACCTGTACAACTCCATCGCCGCGGGCCAGTATCCCTCATGGACTATGTACATCCAGGTACCTTGCCGCGGGACACGCCCGTTCAAATTCGGCATTTTACACATATTTATTTTGTGCATGCATTTCTACTTCAGGTAATACTCATCCATTAAACTGAACATCTTTTGTACACTACACTGCAGTTTGTGTGCTTGTTACACGGATAATTCCAGAAAGGCATAACAAATACGCGGCCCATTGGTGTATGGAAAACCTTTATTTACTTAAGAAATGCAACACGCGATGTGTGCACATGTTGTTGCGCCCTTTTGAAAAAAGCGTTTCAAAGTAACAAGTTTCGATCCTTGCAATTTCTTCTCCGACAATGATAATTCCTGAGCCACCTTCATCTATACGATGTTTCTTCGTTGCAGGTGATGACATACGAACAAGCTGAAAAGTACCGCTACAATCCGTTCGACGTCACCAAAGTTTGGCCGCACAAGGAATTCCCTCTCATTCCGGTTGGAAAAGTTAAGCTGGATCGTAACCCCAAGAACTATTTCGCCGAGGTAAACGATGTGCTCAGATTTTTCTAATCACATTTCTATTTAATATTTTCTGACGTTCATAGTTTTCTAATTTGCATTCAGGAATTCCTCCTGCAAAAAATGAATATATTTTAACGTACTTTAACATCTTTGAAACTTATCCTTCTGTTTTTCAGCAAAATATTTTCTTTTTGCTACTTGCTTCCATAGTTATGGATTATTCCTAATTTTTTGCGAGGTCAATTGTCTTTGACGCCTGATTTTAACTTTATTCATTCAAATAACTAACGTGATCGCCAACAATCGTCTGAGTGTACCTCGTTATTGCGAGTCAGGTGGAGCAGATCGCGTTCTCGCCGGCTCACATGGTGCCCGGTATTGAAGCGTCGCCAGACAAGATGCTGCAGGGCCGCCTCTTCTCGTACACCGACACTCACCGCCACCGCCTCGGGCCAAACTACCAACAGATACCCGTCAACTGCCCCTACCGTACCAAGGCTGCTAACTACCAGCGAGATGGGCTCATGTGTGTCACTGACAACCAGGTGTGTTGTGGTTCTCTTCTTATACATCAAGATATTATTTTCGGCCTCACGGTCTACTCGATTTTTAACGTTAGAAAGTCCAAGATTTTATTTCCCAATTTTTGCATCCTCCGTACATTTTTCATTTATTGTATCGAAAGATAATTTACTCATAATTATTTTTAAATCTGCTGCAGGCTGGGGCACCAAACTACTACCCCAACAGCTTCTCTGGCCCCGCTGACTGCAAGAGCTACAACGGCTGTAAAGCAAAGTACTCTGGTGATATCGAACGCTTCAATTCTTCGGATGAAGATAACTTTTCCCAGTGCACTGACTTCTACAGAAACGTGAGTGTGCAGGTCTAATGTAGGCTTACGTTACAACCTCCTCTACATGAACAACGAACAGAAATCTTAACAAAAAATGGGGAATTTGTCCTTCAAAATTATACAGATTTCTGAAATTTTGTAGCGAAAATCTCATTCTTGTTACAGGTGGTAATTATCTGAACTTGTGTTGATTCTCACAGGTTTTATCTGAAGCCGAGCGCGGCCGCCTAGCCGACAACATAGCAGGCCACTTGGTTTTCGCCATGGACTTCATCCAGGACCGCGCCATCGGAAACTTCGCTAAAGTCGACGCGGGCTTCGGACAGGCCATCAGGGAACGCATCGCTAAACTCAAGACCGCCAAACTTTAGAAATTCCACCATCTAATTCCTGAAAATTATTGCGAAGGCTATGATTTTTGGCTGGTCTATTCATGACATTCAAGATTATTAATATGAATATGCTCTCTTCACTCTTATTTTTGATCTGTGATGGTTTCGGTGGTGTTGTAATTGAACGTTTTAGTTGTAAAGCAACACGGACGATGACGAAAGTGCCCGTCTCTGGTATTTGTGTCTGAAACATTTTCTTTGCGCTCATAATATTCCATGCGTATTTTGAAAGCCTTACATTATTTTATATTAAATTATCATGGATATTATTAACTTGTAATCTACAGAAATCGGGTTTGACTAGACTCACGGATCTGAAACGAGTGGCTTATTTAGTATCGTCGTTAGCATCAGTTATGTCCGTACTACTTTTGCTGGAAGCATAATTCTCGATGATTACTTCAGCTATTTCAGCGTAACGGTGCCCAGCATCAATGAATCACATTCCGCAGAGTTGTCTAAATGATGGTCGACTAGTTTATATCAAGATTATTTTATTATATGATTTATTGCTCACTCTTAACTACAGAATCCCTTAGCAAAATCTCAACGAACTTAACATTCAACAAAGCAGAGTAATTTTTGTCAATGGATTTGTCGGAGTTACCCTATTTTTAAGGACGTTTTGCTGTGAAATGTTCGTTTAGTGATGGCAATTTACGTCAGCGTATTATTCACTAAATCGTGCCTTTTGTTCCTATTGTGGGAAATGCATTGATCTGGCTGAATGATTTCGTTTGAAATAATGCCTAACTTCAATATCATCTCAAAATTGAAGAGGTATATAAGTTCATGAGAACTTATCGCTCATGTGAATCGGCAATAATATGTTGAGCTAAGCGTTTATTGCGTCGCTGGTTTTCCTAAGTTGAGTGTTTAAAATTTTTTAATTTTTTGGTAAATTTTAAGCGAATGAACTAAAGTTGTCATAAAGTCTTCTCGGTGTGGCTTCATTGTTTTTACAAGAATTTAATTTTCGAATATCTTGTTGTTTGTTTCAGAGTTTGCTTGTTTGAGAGTATAACCTGCATTTAATATTTTTCTATTAACTCGTTGCTGGTTGTTTGAACTAGCTACTTTGTACTGCTTGGAGCGCGATTCCGGTTTCATTGAAGGTTTATGTAGTATTTTTTTCTGTCTCGTATTACGGGTTAGATAATGTTGCCACTGTTCTAATGCTCGTTCTATTATTATATCGTGGAGTTGTTGGATCTTTGTGCGGTACATACATTTCAATGACCCTTTATCTATTATGCTTCAGTGAGTAATAAATCGGTAAAATAGCCTGCCTTTTATTCTATTTCTGGAAAAGTAAAAATTTACTTTTGATTAATTTCATAAGCAAGCGTATTTTTAACTGTATCTTTGGACTTAGATTCAAAACCTTATTTCTTCAGGTAGACTTGAGAGTGTAGGCTGCGCGTTACAAGATCCCGTGTTATGGGTGTGTGTGTGTGTAAAATGCGCTGGTTGTTATGAATTTAAAAGTGGAAAGCCTTAATTTTTCAAGTAGAGAAAAATTAAATGAATTCAGTAGTCAATACATTTGTTTTCATTTAGCTATACAAGATCTTGTCACTTACCACCATTGTAAGCCTAACAATGCCGTGCTCGTTACGCTGTTGTGTTCATTACAGCTCTTGACGATACGAATCCAGTGTAGTAGATTTCTGACGTTAGACTTCATTTGAATGGTATGCAGCCTGCAGTCAATATATGGTATAATCTCGAAGTAGTCTTTTTCGATCGTACGTGTTATAAGAACTTTTTCCTAAGAGTGTTGCAGTCCTTGCGAGTTGTGATAACTTTTTCCTTCGAATGCGGCAGCCATTGCGTGTTTTAAGAACTGTTTCCTTCGAGTTCTGCAAAACTTGCGTCTTGTGAGAACCGCAGAGAAATAATAAAAGAACCTGCTAGTCGGCAAATTTACTTCGTATGTCATCGTTTTTACTCGTAGGTCTCAAATCTGGAATGCTCGTTCCATACTACTTTTCATTTATCATTTACCCCATCAAGTTAATTTCGTCAGAGAAGTACTAAGATTATTGATGCGAACTTTGTTGAAGACTGGATTCCATGCTAACGTCAACCTAAGCCAAAGAGTAGGTTCAACTGCTTCGTTGGGTCGCAGAAGACCAGAATCGACCATTTTTCTTACGAGCATAAACATTGAGGTGGGCATTGGAATTAGTATTAGTGAATAATTCTTTCCATTCTATATTTTTGGCGACCTGCAGGAATTAATTTGTCAAATTAAACATTTATTGGCAGTCAATCGAATGAATTTCTCTGACGTTCGAACTAATATGAAATGCTGTTCAAATCTCTTTCCTCATGTACCCGACCGTGGACGAATACGGAAAACCCGAGTGAGTACTCAGAATGCTCGTGAGTAGCGATAATGGAACGAAGTAGTATAATAATATGCGTTTAAAAATTAATTTTTAAAGACAACACTTCCAAAGAATCCAGTGTCTCCAATCTTACAAATGTACAATGAATTTCTCATTTAATTTTCGAATATTAAAAAAGTTAGTTTTTCAATTTTTTTTAATATATAAATTTTTTAATATATTAATTTTTTTCAAAATTATTTATTCTATTAATTGATTCCTGTATTGCCTCTGACTCCACACAAGTGTGCAAAATTTCAAATCAATCAGACGGATAAAAGTGTGTCAGATATCAGTTATAAGATTTGGAGCTGACAAAATTATTTTTTCAATTTTTTTAATATTGAAAAAAAAATTTTTTTTAATTTTTAAAATCTTTTATTTTGACATTTGATTCATGCATTGTCTCCGACTTTACACAAGTGTGCAAAATTTCAGATCGATAGGATAAGTAGAAGTGTATTAAATTTAGATTACAAGATTTGTAGCAGACAGACAGACAAACAGACAGACAAACAAGAAGTGAAGTTAAAGAGAAGTGTTGTAAAAAGAGGGCCTATCATCACAGTTTGCATAAACAACTTAATAGGTTAACGACCATTCACCCCCCCTTTAAACTTGGTAATTTACCCCTGATCAAAACCTTGCCATTTCCCCCGATTGACGGAACACTCCTAATATTTTTTAATCACCATGTTCATTAAAGTGTGGAAACTGTTCGTTACTAAAATCCCAGGACTTAACCTAGACTTAACCCTTAAGACCAGGACTTAACCTATAAAGACGGCTTAACCCTTAACTTTTTCGGGGTGCTCCTCTTTATTAATCAACACAAAGCTATAAGATACTCTATACCTTTTATTACACAGGTCGTGAAACTCTGCAAAGGGCATATCGCAAGCAATGAAATCACGGTAAATATTTTTCATATCGATGAAAGGTAACTGAAATAGAATTGATAAATTTGAATTCCTTCTAATGGTTTGCCTTGGAAATATGTGATAGCTTTGGGATGGGTAAATTAACCACATTTAAATATGTCTTGCACGGGTGTAAAAACTATCAGCAGGATTCTGATTCTTTTCTGTAGTAATTAATACCATCAAAATGAACAAATTTTCTTTTCAGGATCTATGTCACTTGGATCAGGAACATAAGCAGTATTCATAAATTATAAATTATAATAATTATAATTTATAAATTATAATTATAATAATATAATAATTATAAATTATAATTATTATAATAATTAGGTAAGTTTTCAAGATATTCATCAATATTGTCATTGGCGTTGGAAATTAAATCAATGAATTCGGATTTATTATAGCTCTTATCGACAGCGTTCTTCAACAACTTATATTCAGGCTAATGGGCTGACTTGCTTTAAAGGAAAAGATTGTTGAAATAAATGAAATTTTCAAATAGCAGCTTCGAAGTGCAAAACATTGTTTTGCACTTCGATCTCTCAATTATGAGACACCTCAAACTCGGAGAAGGAAATACAAAATGGTTCTTCTGTTTATTTTTATTATCGTCTCTCCACTTCTAGAATATTTCTCAAAGTTTTATTTCTAAAATCATTTCAATGTTTGTTCTAATATATTCACCTGAATTAAAAGCAAGTTTATTTCTGTTCAGAGATGGCGAATATCATCGCGGATTTTACCAACATCAATCTGCAGCTAATTAATTAATATATCCAGAATTTAACATCATCTCTCTTTGGACATCTGCTATTGCGTCTGACATTTGTATAAGAAATTTCATCAAGTTTTTTCTCTTCACAGGCTGCCTCGAACGACAATAGCGTGTAAATGAACTACCCTCTATTAACTTTAATAGACTTCTGCCAAAAAATCACTCTGTATTTTCGAATATATTTAATGGGCTCATCAAACTTGACAAGTTGAAATGTCTCTAAACCAAACCGTGAATACTTTAAGTAGAGTGAATTGTAAGTTTTTCGTTGATCAATTACTTCATAAGGTACATTAGCTCTCATTTTTATAAACCGACATTATGAAAGATATCAATCAGTCTTTTTTTTTGCAGAAGAGATTGGAATGGAATCCAACTTCGAATTCATATATCAGAAACCTACAAAGTTAATTCAATCATACGGTGGTTCAAAGCCAGGATATTAATACCGTCTGCTTATACATGTCTTATATCTTCGTCGCCATTTGGTTCAATCATATTCATTCAGTTCAATCATCACCTTCGCATATAATTCATGGTTATCATTTTGTATATTTTACATTGTTTTATATATTGTCTCATTATTCAATGCTCTTTTATATTCATCCATGGTTGTATTCCTTTCTTTGACATTTCTCTTAATACCTTTAGCTTTTTTATTTACAGAACATTTTGTTCGATAACAATACGTACAGCTTTGCTCGAAGACCTACATTGAAGTCATTGAAACACCACATCAAATACCTTTCTCAATGAAAAGTATCATATCAGGATACTTTTCATTGCACTCGGATGCACTTTTCATAATTTTTGCAAGTCTAATTCTATCTCAGTAATCTTTAATAGAGGATCAAATGATAAACCGGGAGCTGTAAAATAATTAGCTGGATCTAATTTATATTGAATCTCTAAAGTTCTTAAAAAACTTCAACTCATAACAAGGTATTAACTTTGTGGTAGAGATTATGATAATCTTCGAATGTATTACATTTGAATATATCCCAAACCTCTTTAGCATGCTCATAGTCTTTATCGGATATATGTTTAACATTTAATTTGTTATAGAATTCATCTCTGGATGGTAAACTAATTAAATTCATTTTATCATAGGTATCCATGCAGTTATATGGATATATATTTTGTATGGTATCAATTTAAACTGCTCATTATTAGGGAAATGTCTTCCCAATTCCACATGCTCTGATAAATTTTTTAATAATGCATTTTCGCGATGAAGACATGAATTTGAAGGTGTCTAAGAATCTTAAATCTCTTGTTATGTCTCGTTGCTTTCTTGTGTGGCTTTCCTTGTTGGTCTGTGTGAAACTTCTATATTTTTTTATCTGTTTCGGATATAGCATTAGTTTTACCAGAAACTTTCCCTAGTCTCTTAAAAAGTTGATGTGAATCATAATACGATAAGTTATGCATAAACACTGGAATAAAATTAGGATTTCTAATTTTGAAATTACACTTAAGATCAGGAATTTAAAAGCAAAGACAATACCACAAAAATTCACCATATATTTATAAGAGAAAACGTTTCAGAGTCCAGCTCCATCGTCAGTTCATAACACAAAATTGTGTTCAGAAGAAGTTCAGTCCTAGAATCAAAAATACAATCAATTAATAAAGTGAAATACACTGTCAGGTTTCAAAACGGAAAATATATAAATAAGACATGAAATTAACGCTAGCAAACGGCCTATCTATTTACTATTTCAAGAGGAAAGGAGCTACAATAAGCGGCAGTCAGACTAGGCTTTTGTTTGAATATATAAAGGGATTCTAAAATTCGTAAATCAGTAAAACCGGATGTGGAAGCTAGAATTTTAAAATCGCTATCAGATACAGAGGTGTTGCACTGCTCGGCATGAACACGTACAGTAGAATGAGGTGGATGTGCAAGTAGGTTCCCCGTTCTATTACTCCTGCTCTTATGCTCATCAAGCCTAGTATAGAAATTGCGTGACATCATACCGACGTACGCTGATGCGCACTGCGCACAACTAGTCTATATCTGTAAACTAGTGACGATCGCATAAGAACAGGTAGGGTATCCTTTAACCTGAAAAACGAGCCGATTCTAAAATTGTTAACTAGCAACAAAGGAAGATTAACATCCGGACGATATTTACTAAATAAAACTTTTAATTCATATATCATAGTCTAAGATGCGGGGCCAAAGTAGAGAAAAGAACAGTAAACCACTTTCCTATTGTCACACTTGGGAGCAACTGCAGTATATTGCTTGGACATAAACTTTTTAATTTGGGTTAACGCCAGGTGCGATGGAAAGCCATTTTGTGGAAAGTTATTGCGCAACAATTCGAATTCGGAGTGCACGGCTAGGAAAGTAGAACAAATGCGAATGGCTTTCGCATTTGTTGGTGTTGCTAGAATTAGAGCTGCTAGTTCCGCATCGTCCTGGACTCCAACTACGGAACCAGGTAGGGAAACATGGGCAAAGGGACCACTGCATGTCACGGGCCCATAGCGGGTTTCCCGCTAGGTATGTCAGATATTGGTCCGTGCGCTCTACCGCCGGTCGACGGTTTTACTGGACTGAAGTGTGTGGCTCTGCGTTTTACCAAGAGTTTGCGTTGGTAAGTTACGTGCAAATAACTGTTTTAGCTCAAATAAAAGTTTTTTGCTGCTAAATAAAACTGTTTTCGATTACTCTAAATGAAACTTTTGAATGTACTGTGAACTATTTTTGAAAGTATTATTTATAGGGATAATTTTGAGTTCAAGTTTAAACTATTAGCTTTTAAAATAAAATGTTGACACGATATAAATTGAAATGATACTAAGTGGGGCAATGGGCCCATGCGTGTCAAGGTGCAAAGCGCCCATGGTGGGCTCAATACCCTCTGTGAAGTTTTGTGTACATCGTTAGATTTGTCTCAATACACTCTACAAAACTATGACTAGCTTTTTGAATTACAAATTATGCTTCATATTGTATGATTTTTTTTGCCGCCTCAAGACAGTAGGTTCTAATTTCAAATTATGCGTATATATGACCCGTTATCTTTCTTTCACCTTTACAAGATTATGCGCAACTATAAGAGGAAGACCAACATATCCAAATATTCTCAAACTGAACTTTAGAATCTATAGGAGGAAATTAGGAATGACAAATTACCAAGAGATAAAATTGCCAAGTAAACGTTGCGTCGGCACAAAGACGGCAAGATGAAGCAACTTGTAGTTTTTTGTTTAGGAAGATACGATATCTACATCCTTGAAGATGTGGAAGTAACATTAGCTACGCGCATTAAATAAATGCAAAGAAGAATGTTTGGACTGACATGTACAGATGTGAGGAAAATTGCAATCAGTGTCGCTGAATGACACAACAAAAATTGCTTATTTAACAGTAGTTAATAAATGAATGAATGTAATATTTTGTATTAAATTTTTCATATTTTAAATTGTAAAGTGTTGTTTTATCATATTTAAAATAGAAAATATGCAATTAGGGTTTAGGGACCATGGGTGGGCGCCTTGCCCCAAGCCCATGGGCTCTTTGTCCCAGGGGACAAAGGCCCAAAAAAGATTCAAAATGGGCCCATTTTGAATCTGGTTAAAAATAGTGTTTCATTAAAAAATTAATAACTCTATAGGCGTCTAAGTCACATCATACATTCTTCATTAGTAGTAACTTTAATCAAAACAAACAACTACATCGTATCAATTAAATCTTCATAAAAATTTAGTTTAGAAAAAGGTGTGGGCCCGCTGCCCCATGTTGCCCTATTGATTCAGATGTTTCAGGATAAGGAATAGTAGTTATCCCTTCCAATGTTAATGATATTGTTGTAAGACGTCACTTATTATTTGCCTCTCTGAATGATGGAAATACAGGAGTTTTTAATGAATTGTAAGCACGCACGCATGAACTACGATATTTATTAAATGATCATGATGTTATATTTTTGAATAATTTTTGTTTAAGAAATGGAATAGCAAAGCATAGTTTTTCCTGTAGAAAATGTGATATTTACACGAATTTCACGCCAGCTCAAGGACTACTACACACAGGACATGCATAGCCTATGTCCAGCCTCTGCTAGCAGAGGCGATCGCCTACACTATGAAAATGCTGTTGTTTTAGTGGCATCAACAAATGATATGCCCATAATTGTTTCATACAATAGTATTACAATGTGTGTAGTAGTCCTTGGTAAAAAAGTCTATGGGTCTGACCAAGGACTACTACACACATTGTAATACTATTGTATGAAACAATTATGGGCATATCATTTGTTGATGCCACTAAAACACCAGCATTTTCATAGTGTAGGCGATCGCCTCTGCTAGCAGAGGCTGGACATAGGCTATGCATGTCCTGTGTGTAGTAGTCCTTGCGCCAGCTATAAAATTGGATGCAAACAAATTTCATGAACTGGCATTGGTGGGACTGGATATGTATCACTCTATCACGAATATCGAAGAGTCAGAAAATAAATTTTATTTATTTTTTGCGATATTCTTTCTCGGCCCGCCCGATTGCTATGACATAGAGAGTATCAATAAGTTTTAAATGCACTTGGAGACGAAGACTCGATTGAGATAAAAGCGAACACCAATTCTTTAAAATGTATTATAATCATTAATAATACCGACTTACAAATTTCTTTCAACAAACCCAACAATTTGGCTTTGATGATGTATTGGTGTACGGAAACTCTGTGGGGCTTGTAGTGACTGGAATTTATATCTCGCACTATCTTTACTGTGAATGTCGCAAATAATTTTATTAAACCTTCAAGCTCGTTGATCATTAATCTCTGAAACAATATGTTACTTAATTAGCTTGAATTCGTCTACTTATTTTGTGTTACATCAATTTCACTATGAAATAATTATAAAAATATTCAGTGAATAAATTATCAATTCTTAAGCACGAATAACATTCGTGTACTTTATGAATAATAAAAAGTTTAGTAAATATTGAAAAACTTTTATTTTTAAAACGTGTCATCAAATATTGTAAATTTTGTTTAGAATGTCCAGTGGGTAACATTAGCCAATCACGCGTTAGGGTTATTTTCTGGGCATATTTGCTGTGTTAACATCTACTGGGGTAAGCCGCTAAGTTCTCCGCTAGAATTCAATTCGTACAATGTAATAAAATATTTCAGTGTAACTGTCATAACTGAATTGCTAATTGTGTACTTTGTATTCGTATGGTATTGTTATTCCATTGTGTTCAAGTCATTTTTATTCTAACGACCACACCTAAACGTACAGGTGTTGTTCGGCGCCATCCTTCTTTAACCCATCAATAAACTAAATGCATCACATTCCATCCTTCAACCTACATGATATTTACATCAACTAATTAGGGAAGAGGGACGGCCGTTGTAACTTTTAACTCAAAATCTCAACTACCAATTTAAAAACCGCCCTTTTCCTCAGGCTTTGATGATGGAGTGTTGGAAGGTGTTGGGGAACATGAAAGTACAAATATAGTAAATATAATGCCTGTTAATGCAATACTTTCTAACTGCACTGTAAACTTAATGGCCTTGCCTTTTATATGAAATATTCCCCGCCCTTTTGCTACAACATTTGGCTGCTCAGCGCGAAATAAAAAAGGAAGTTTAAGTTAATCACCCTGTAGTTGAATTAAATGAGAACTGTAGCATTAACGGCACTGATAGGTTGGGTTACACCTTATTACACCTCATACATACCTTTTCGTTTCCTATTCATCAGAATTTTCAATACCTGCGATCAATTTTAAAGTTATTCAATGAGGAGAATAAATTATTGCACACTATACATAGGCATGAATTTTTAATTTCATGTTAATTTTTCTATGCACTATAAAAATAAAAACTATCAATTATGGTCTCTGATTTACACAGTACGGAACTTAAATTGGAGTTAAAACCTAAGACTTAACTAAGAAAGACATTTTATTCGATTTTATAATTTACTAATATTTGCAATCGCTTCCTTTCACTTAAAATGCGAACCCGTCGCACTGAAGCAATATTTTAATACTGTGAACGGAGATATTCCTAAAAATATATTTAAACTGTAGATATAGTATCATATGAATAGTTAGTATGCATGTACATATCTAAATAGATAGATATACAGACGTACTTCAAATCTCGTATCTTGGTTCTGGCCTGCATTGTCACTGTGCTCGTGAATCAAGAGCACAACAATCTAAAATGACCTTCAAGATTATTATTTCAGGTTGTATCGTACGGTCAAAGAATAAACTATTAAACATCGTTTGTGGACTTACGAAGAGCGTGTGATATACATTTTAACAAGCAATGCTTCCAGTTTGTTTGCGTTTGCCTCGGCATTTACTTGTCTGATAATAAAGTTAATGTGATGTGCGTGCTCCAGCTGCTTGTTAATAAGACATGCTTAAGTAAGAATGACACCAAGCTTGATATATTAAATTCTCAATAATTGCGAATTACCACTTAGGCAATACAAATTAGTATACAAACCCTAAGACCGTCGTACTCCCAATCTGAATGTCAGTACCACTTCGCGACGTTAGCTATCAGAACAAACGCGATGATTAAGCGCGATCGAGACATCAAGTGTTTATGCTCAAGATTGCGACCCTCCAAATTTCCCATCTTGGTCATACCGAGTGGCCATGATTTGTGATATCGCCAGATCAAGTGGACACTAAATTATCGAGAAGTTATTAAGGACTACGACACAAGCGATGACTTCTCCACAGACTCTTAGCGTACAGGTGAGCTAACATCTCAATAATGTCTTACTGAGTTTGTTGAGAATTAGTACAGAAGTTTTTGAAACATACAAATTTATAACTTTTGAATCTATAAACTTCAGTGATTTTGAAGTGTACCATTTGCAAAATTGCCTCACAGTAACGTTATTTAAAATTGCAGATTTCTCAATTAATTTATGCGCAATGTTTTGAGGAAAACAACTACGACAAAAGTCAAAGAATTTTTTGATTAATGCACAGACATAAAATAGACCGTAAATTATGTCCAAGATCTCAAAGTTTTCCTTGATGCTCGTCGAATTTTGTTATCGATTATTCGAGAAAAAGTTTATCATAGCTTAATTTAATTTCAACTGCTTATTAATTTTGGCGTAAATAATTCCACGCTAAATGTCAGCGCAAAATCTTTCGCTAAAAATTGTTAGAATTCCGTCTTGTTGAGGATATTGAATAAAAAGTAATTTTTCCACCAGAACTTACCAAGGCAAAGCAGTGAAGTCCCTTTGAGGCAGTTGGAAGAAAACAAGCCAGAAGAAAGGTGAGGTTTCAAAACCGCAAGTTTAATAAAAAAAATTCATCGACTTTGGTCCCGACAGGGTCGCTAACTTTAACGTCGTTAGCAATTTTGAGCTTGACGGACGTCGTTAATTCCAAAATAGCCTGATTACTTTCAGTTCCGGGATTTTGCCACTTATTGATTCGATTGCCAATTCGACCCGCTCATTGGCAGTTCACTTTTCGATTCATTTGTTGCTCAGTTATCCCATATGCTGATATTATTATAGACTGTTATATAATTACTGATGCTAGAGTCTCGATCTACAGCTCAATAGTATTTTTGTAAAGTTTGCTTGCTGTATTGCGCCATTTGCCAGTTAACTCGCGAAATCGATTTTTATTTTATCACCCCTGCTCAAGTTTATATATATGTTCAATAATCTGTTCTAGACTAGATTTGAAGTCTATCTGTCCACTATTTGATCTAAGGGACGCAGTATTTATTTTTTAATTATGACCTCGTATTTTTATTAATTATTTTGGTTTGCTTACAGTAAGTCAATACTGATTAAATAACTTTCTCGGATCAAAATTTTTCATTCCGAATTTTCACGTATCAAAATCTCTACGTATTTGAATTTCGCACATCCAAAATTTATTGCATGATCCGTGTAAAGTTTCGCGAAGTTTATAGAAGGTTCATACAACCCCCAGCAACTCGGCAAGCATGAGGCAGTGGCAAGTGTTGGGCGTGTTGGGCGTCCTGTGTGTGGCCGCCACCATCGCGCTCAGCGTCACGCTCCCGGAGACACCCAAAGCCAATGGTGAGCAAATTGTGTGGGTGTGGTCGCATATTTCTTTCGAGAATCAAATTTATGGTCATGAAACCATAAACGTTCAGCCGTTAATGAATAAAATTCATTAGCATTCATTCTAGCATTCCGAAACAAGTTTTGAGGAAATTGTTACGAAATTAGTATTCAAACACAGCGTTGATGTCATACTTTCCAGTTCGATGTTTCAACAGCTATTAATATTTTAGGCATATAAAATAAGAGTCATAATAGTAACTTTCTTTTTCGGCCGCAGAAAAGAAAATTTATTCCACGAGACATGCAGTGGGCCCAAACCCCGGGCTTCAAGTAGCGTCAGTGCTCAAGCAGGTGAATGCATTTCGTTTGTATTTTATTGTTGCATATCATCGATATAATAAAAGTATTAATTCATTGAGCCCATAACACTGTTTGAAAATTCCGATTTGGAGGGGTGCGTTGAAAAAATATTTTGTATAGATAGAAGAAATTGTTAACCTTTTTCCATGTGCGTTTAGGTCTAGGACATTCGAATTGATGCCGTTAATTTCTGAACGAAAAACATCAACTGTGAATTAAAATTATCCTCTGAATTCTTCTCTTTCAGGACACTTGAATTCTCAGAAGCATTAAATTTCAATATTAAGTCCATGATATTCACTAATTATTGCAAAATTTCTCACGCTCTTCAGGTTGAGGATGCGAAGAAGACACTTCTTGAAGAGCCAGTCCCCCGCAGTCATCGTCAAAGTCTCGTCAAGAACAGGAAGGTTTGACGGATGATGAATATTTATATTCAAATATATAACATACAATAAAAAATTGTCCGGGAAAATAATACCTAAATACAAAAAAAATTGATCCTAATTTCAAAATCAACCCCATTAGTATGTTAGAGACTTCTGATAGATTCATAGACAACACTCATACACAAACTTAGTAAAATTTCAAAATTGATACAAAAAAGTTTTTAATTCGGATTTTGGCTAAAAATAATAGCCAAGTGAGCTATGGCCTGAATAATCTTCACAAATAATCAGATCGTAAGTAATTCCAGATATCCCTATAACAGATGAAATCGTCCCATCCATCATAAAACGTACTCGATACTTTGCTTTAGTCATGTAGTATATCATATACCCCCAACACTTTTCAACACACCCAATGAATAACAACTGTATTCAAACTGCAAACAAATATTACGTTTCATCACAAATGTGCGCTGTTCCGACGTCATGCACTCGCAAACACTTCATGAACAATGAAATATCCAAACAATAAATACCGTCTTCCGTCAACAAGCGCCCAAAACCTGGTCCCCCATCAAATCATGACCCACAGCTCTTTACTCAACTCACTTCCCTACCCGGCAGCCCCCTCGGTTTCAAAATACACACACCAACCCTGCATTCAACCCGGTGCGTTTGGAGTACGCTTAAGGATCGGCCACACTCCTACTCGGCTTTAACACCAACACAAAGGGGCCGGTTGCATCCAAGCGATAATTCCATAACGCATCCGTGTGCAGTCACCGACACCTCACAAGGCTTCTCTACACCTTTGTACCCATAACTACAATAATCACTACACTCACGCATCCCAACGTCAGTTCCCATGACACGTCTAAGTGATTTAAGCCTATCGTCTACATAATCAAACTATATTCATACATACATACTATACTTGTATTTAAAAATTAAACATTATGGATGGGAGGCGTCATATTTAAACCTCTCACTCTTCCGTGGCAGCTGAATAAAGCCTTGACGGATTCTCCCGCACCCTCTTCCGACCCCATCCCCACCAATCACCCAACATACTTCACAAAACAAATCATGCGTTTAACGTTTTTTTAACTAAACTTTTCATCAGTCATCACAATATCACAAACCATAATAGAAATTGCTTCATTTTTATTCTAATAATAAAAGTAGATTTATGTTCTGCGCCATATATTTTCCTCGTTCCCTCTTCAATAGTTCAATCTCCTCCCTCGTCTTGTTCCTAGCCTTCATCCTACCAGAATTGTTAATACTCCAGCTACTGGAATCTGTAACTTATGTTTGCAGCCTTACACGGGCGCCCTCGCAACCAAGGCCGTGAACGGGACACTGGTCTGCGAGACCCCTGAATGTTCGATGGCAGGTAATTGAGAACCCATAAACGGGCTTAGAGGTTTTTGTGAAGAAATTACTTAATTTCATACATTTTTCTGAGAAAGAGACACATTTTAAAGAAATTTTAGTCATTCAACCATTATTACATGTGTTTTTTATTATTTAGTCCGTTTACTAACACCATTTACTTCGCCATTTAATCAGTGATGTATTTTTATTGGTAAGCTGCTCTGATCAGCGCCAACATGGACGTGACAGTGAACCCATGTGACGACTTCTTTTCCTTCGCTTGCGGAGGCTTCATCAATAGCCACCCCGCTCCTCCTAAGTAGGTTGAGATTATCTACTATTATTTTTGAAAAATGTTGCACGTCGATATTAGTATTACCAACAAACTGATAATAAAACATGCATTCACAAATAGTTCAGTTTTGATGCTATGATTTTTTGATATGATTGAGCCAGAATTAGCATGGCCCAGTCAAATTTTTAAATTGAATTCTATCTAATGAATATTCCTTTCAGAAAACATTTGCTTATAATAGGAAATATATTTTACGCCTAGTTTTGAGCAGTGTTTATCAACAGAATTTGTGTCGTTCCAGTTCGGGCACATTTGACAATGCGGGTAGCCTTCTCTCAGAGCGCCTCACGCTGCTGCTGGAGACGCCAGCCGCCGCTTCCGACCCGCCCCCGCTGTTCATGCTCAGGAGGGCGTACAATGCTTGCATGGACACGGGTAAGCACCGTGTTGATGCCATCGTGATACTTAGGCTGGTAGTTAGAATGCAGCGAAGTCTGAGAGCGAGTTTTTCGCGACCATCGTGTGAAATCCTTGATCTGCCCGAAGCTCGGCCAGTCGTTCCCTCGAGCTTGTACTCTTTGTAATATGATATCCTAGCCAGACCCTTTTTCGCGGCAACTGGTCGCTTTCAGGTGGCCGAGGAATGGCCAGCGGTCGGCTATAACTAATTGGACTAGGCCGACCAGTGGCCACTTATTATTTCTCGCCTCTCATTGAATTCGCCTGCACCATGCCGCCCGTCGTGAACTGACAGTTCAGTAATTTACGGCGTCTCGTTCCCCACATACCTTCCACAACGTCTGCATTTGAGCAGTTAGTATGCGGGATTTTCCCTCCGCGTATCAGCAGGCTCGATCATAACTATTTTTTGGAAGATAATATCTACAACAAGGAGGCTGATCAAGGAATGACGAGTATACCATTCAATGGAGAATAAAAATTACAACCCGTTTACATCTTGAAATAAGTGTAAAAGTCGCAGACTTGATGAACAAAGTTGCAGACTTCATGAACAAAGTTTACTATTGTTCAAAGTATTTCTTGTTCCTGGTCACCGTTTATAAATAAATAGCTAGGTAAGCATGGAAAAATCCATATCGCTATCTCCTTTACGAGTGGAGTAACGTTCAGCCTAATTTATTAAGAAACTCTTAGGCAAGAGCCGAGCCTGTTCGTAGCCTCGCGGTTCTCAATCAGAGCCTTAAGAGGCCGGTGGAGCGGCCGCCAGGCGCGTTAATCCCTATGAGGGTTCTTAACAATGAAGGCAACCAATAACTCTCCTCCTAAATAAGATACAAGTCTGAAATTTGGAATGGTGATCTGGCTAATTATTTTCAATTAACGGAAAGTAAGATATATTATGTAAACTATGTATTATCACTTTTATCACGAACAAAAATTTTAAACCATATGAAGATCGTAAAATGAGCGAATTTTTCTAGCGCGACAACATTTTCTAACATTTTCGCGACACAAGTTAATTTAACTATTTATTCTTCATTGACCTCTACACAAAGCATTTCTGAATCATTCTTTTAGCATTAGATATTAGTCGACATTATTAGTGGTAAGTGAAAATTCCGTAGATTTAAGCAAGGCCTGACCCGGCCATTGTCGTACTGGGTGTAGGCGCAGCCTACGCTGTGGCAATAAATCTTCTGTCGTTCAAGGTAAACATTCCTTCTTTCCATCAGCTTTCAAAGCCCTTGTCTCAAGCTGCGGAGTCTTTTAAAGGGTCTAAACTAACAATGCATGTTTCCATGCATCGTCAATAATATGGAAATGTTGTTAAGAGATCGTAAATGAGCATCATGCGTTAGGATGATTACGAAGAGTTTATCGAAATAATGTTTTAAAATATTAAGAGAATGAATGCATAAACAGCACAATTTAATATAAAATTTCCCATTTGCTACCACACGAACGATTATTTTAATGAAAATTATTGAATTAAATGAGCTATAATATAGCATATTGAATTCCAAACTTTAATATTCCGAAACAATAAAGGCTTTAGTAAGAGCGGTTTTCTTTCCACTTCGATTTTTGTTGTAATGGAGTCTTCCTTCCAAATAAAAGTTAGATTGCGCTAAAATTGTTGTACAGATTACGAAGAGATAATCGTAATTATGTTTTAAAGTGTGAAGAGAATGAATGCATAAACAGCGCAATGTTATATTTAATTGTCATTTACTCCAACTTGAACGATCATGTTATTTCAAATAATTGAATTCATGTAAATTTTGTATTCCTGACAGTCGTTTCACCATAGCTTGGTTGTCGCACAGTACTTTAAAAAGGACACGGGATGCCAATTAGTCACTTGGCGTTTCAAGAGGGACCTCCCTCTTCCCGCACAATTTGGCGGCAAAGAATTCGGGGGGGAGGGGCGGGGAAAGCGATTTATTGATGAACGAATTAATTCTTAAAGTAATTATGCTGGATATTATACCTATGTGTGTGACACAATATTTACGGCATGCAGGTCTTTTATTGGCATGTGTGTACAGGGAATATATACGCATATACTCTGACATTATGGGGATGAGGGTGGAGGGTTTGTGTGTGCGTGTGTACACATCGTACAAGCTCAGTGTGTGTACTTCATGTCCCCACTCCCCTAACGTCAACCACTGCTGCACACGACTCCCCAATTTCTAGCCACGTCTGCGGCATTAGGGTGAGGGTTTCAAGCTGGAGAAGGTAGCAAGTCGTGAACAATATTCAGCCTTGCATAAATCATTCATAACAAACTTTGCATAAATCAACTTTATTAATAAATCATTAACTTAGCATAGATCATTCATAACAAAGAATGACTGGTTGTAAAAATATATGGAGCGATCTAAATGGTGATGTTGTTTATGAATTCATTGGAACATATTAAAAAAATGAAAATTCCAATTTCAATTAGTTAGCACTGCTATGTTACACTCTCCATTACTGAATAGAGAATGAAAACTACAACGAAAGCATGAATGAAAACATCTCACGAAGAAAAGAATGTTAAACAATTTGGCACAGTTCGTTAAAGAATTTTTTAGCCTTCCCAGCGAGGGAATGCGTGACTGCGTGTGTACATTTAAATGCGTTAGAGGGGGTACTTGTAAAAATCTCCCCCCAACCGCTGCCTCCTCCCCAAGTCCCCTCGCTTCCCCATAGTTGAGTTCCTCTCAAGTCTAAAGCAACCCTCCTCGCCGCATGGCGCGATTGTGACGAGATGCAAAGATTGGAAGCTGGCTTTCTACTGAATAGGCGTGAACTGCGTACTCATTTTTCCAGGAATTTGAAAGCCGACAATATTCACAACAAATTGCTTTGGGTGTCATAAAATTAAATAATGAAAGCATTCAAAGCTTTAATTTAAATAATAATTACCATGACACATTTTTGCACATTACTGTTGATGCTTCGTGACTTATATGCATTTTTATTGACATGTAATTATAGTATTTATGCTCGAGCGATCTTTACACATGCTTTTATGAAACAGCCTAAATTAACTTGGTTGTACTATCATGACACAGCATTGCCGTAAATTATGAACGCGTATTTTCAATAAAGGTTATTAGTAAGAAAACAACCAATTTGATAATAGAGTAAAATTTCGTAGAATAATTAGTAGTATGTCGCTCGCTGATTAAAAATGCCGAGAAGGGGAAGCGAAGGAGGGCAAGTGTGCAGCCAGACGTAGGATGTGGCAGACGTTAGACGGCAGAGCCTGGCCGAGAAATTTTAACCGCGTGAGGCCGTTTGGGCTCGATGCAGCGTTCACCGACCGCTCCACGGGACTCTTAAGATTGCGATTGAGAATCGCAAGCCTCAGGCAGGCTTAGCTGGATCCCTATGCGAATCTATCACTACGTTCACTACGTATGGTCATTATAACTCCGCTCGTAAATGAAATTATCAATCTGAATTTTGTCATGCTCATTCAGCTACTTATTTACAATTTCTGTACAATAACAAAAAATATATAAATTTTGTATAGCATTATTTTTTGATAGAGGATGACTTACCTAATTTTTACCTTTGAGACTTACCTAATTTTGTGAGACATAAGGAAGTAGTACTATTTATTCTCTATTGATCGGTATTAAAGACATATCTTAATCAACATCTATTTTGTAGATATTATCTAACAAAATATTTTTTAATTTCTGCTAAATCGGAGATTACACATTTTCTTTGGAAGCCGCAGTTCTCATGAAGGAATTGGGGAAAGAATGAGGGGAAACACACGTCGTAAATAACCCGCCTGTCACTCATGTGGTGAAGTGGAGCACAATGAGGAGCAAGTAATAATGGATGGCCAGCGGTCCGCCAAGGCCAATTAGTTCTAGCCGAGCGTAGGCCATTCCTCGGCCACATAAAAGCCAGCCGTAGCCCCAAAATGGGTACTGGTTCAGGTATCATATTACAAAGGCAACATGCTCGAGCGTAGCAACTTGCCGCTCTGAACACAGACAAGGATTCCACACCGTTGTCGCGAATTCTTCGCTCACAGACTTCGTCGCACTCTGACTACCACCCTTAAGAAACCGTTTTCTTTGTGTGCCAAAATTTTTGCAATGGGAAACATTTTTCGCAGTCGTGTCAGTTCTTTATCTGATCTTGGGTTTACTAGTGTTTATATATAGATTTTTTTAAAAATTAAATTCTCTTGTAAAAAGACGGCATGGACTCGTTGGGTTTGGCCCCTCTATGGGGAGCGTTGCAAGGCATCGGAGGCTGGCCCATGGTTGACCCCGCATGGGATCCTGCTTCGTACTCCACCGAAGCCTCCTTGGCTTCTCTGCGTGACCTCTTCATCACGCCTATGTTCGGCATGGCCATCTCTGCCGACGTATTCAACACCTCACACTTCATGATTTATGTTGGTATAGCTCTGATACGCTTTCATTTGTTAATTTTTTATGAAGCCATTACTTTTTTAGCAAAAAATACCGATTAAGTGTATGGCAAACACATTTTAGTAAGAGTTGCGATGAGTTTTTATTTTTCTTTATATATAGCTCACACATCAAAAATTCTTCACTTGTGTGTTAGGAAGTATTTTCTCAACAGTAATCTTATCCTACCCATTACACTTGTAAATTAGGAACAACTACAACTGTGATTAAATTAGACGGGAAAAGATAATGAAAGTCAATAATGCGTTACTGTCCTTGCCTTAGGTGGGCGAAGGTTCTCCGGGCATCAACTAGACCGTCCTCGCCAATCCGATAATTTTCTCTGGAATTTATGACGCATACAGAACTTTCATAACCGAATCTGCCAAGCAAATGAGAGACTACCTAGGCTCCAGCGTTACAGATGCAGAAATTAGTGCTGAAGTGGAAGACCTGCTTGCTTTTGAGACCACACTGGCAAAGCTCATGGTCGATGCGGGTGCCGACAATGTTACCGAAATACTTGAAAGGATGACCGTGGATCAAGTCCAAGCTGCGCTTGACTCGCAAACTCCAGGACAGGTAACAAAGTTCTAAGTGCAATAAATGTTGTATACGCAATCGTCCAAGGCGTTTACCAGATAATGCTAAAAAGCCGAAGTAGGAATCAGTTGTACGCTGTAAACAGTGTAAACAGTTTTGAATATGACTCATAATTTGAATTTCATGCTTACATTTCAAACTCATGTAGCAAAGTTTAACACTGGTAATAGGTGAACTGTCCAAAAATAGTATGAGAAATCATTTAGGTTAATTAAAAATTGAGATACGCGTTAAGTCAGATTGTCATTTTTGAAAACAAGCGATAAATTCAGGAAAAAGTACTTATGTCAATGATCCAGACGCTAGTGTGAAATGATAAGCTTCTTATTGCAATATATGCACCGCAATCTGGGAAGTATGTAAAAAAATCGGGTTCATTATAAGTTCCTGCTATGGTTTGATTGTCGCATACGCTGCATATCAACGCATGGAAGTTAAAAATAGTTCCTCAAAAAATTTACAGGCCATTCACCGGTGAATAAAGTTAACCTGTGTTAATTAAGGTTGGTTAATAAAATTAAAGGCTTAGAAATAATACAGTCGTCTGCTTCAGTGCAGTAGCAAGATGTTCTTTCCAATTTTGTTAGTTCAACTTGCTGGAATACATCCGTTTGGTGTTCGAGCCGTCTTCTGTGACCATCACAGCGGACGAAGTGATATACCTTGAGGAGGGTGTCGACTACATCTCACGATGGAGCACGCTGCTCTCAGAAACACCTACGAGAGTTCTCGGTGAGTATCAATAATTGTTATTACTACTGTCAATAAATACAAGTTTATTACATGAATAATAATATACGTTTTAAAAATTACTTTTTAGAGACAACACTTCCAAAGAATCCAGTATCTCCAATCTTACAGATGTACAATGAATTTCTCATCTAATTTTCGAAAATTAAAAAAATTTACTTTTCAATTTTTCTAATATATATAAATTTTTTTTAATATGTAATTTTTTTCAAAATTATTTATCCTGTTAATTGATTCGTGCATTGCCTCTGATTTCACATAAGTGTGCAAAATTTCAGATCTATTAGACAGTTTAAAGTGTGTCAAATATCAGTTATAAGATTTGTGGTAGCTGACAAAATATTTTTTAAATTTTTTTAATATTTAAAAAAATTTTTTTAAATTTTTTGAAATCATTTATTTTGACATTTGATTCATGCATTGTCTCTAACTTTACACAAGTGTGCAAAATTTCAGATCGATGGGATAAGTAGAAGTATGTTAAAAATTGATTATAAGATTTGTAGCAGACAGACAGACAAACAGACATACATGAAGTGAAGTTAAAGAGAAGTGTTGTAATTAACATGAGTAAAAATCTGTTTTACGTCTAAAAAACTGCCAAATAACTTCAATAACTCGTGAAAAGTCTCTTAAAAAAGTCCTAACTTTAAAAAAAAGGCTCTTAAAGTCTCTTAAAAAAAGACCTAACTAAAAAAACTGTGGGGCAGGGTGGTCCAGTGGTAGTACCAAGATTAGAGCAGAGAGATGCGGGTTCGAGCCCAGCTCTGAGAGCCCGTTTTCGTCTCATTCGGTGAATAGGTTAAGCTCAGCAGAAACTGGAGCAGTGAGTTGCGAGTTCAAGACTGTAACAAGCTGTGAATGTTATGCGATGGTAAGAATCTGCGACGGGCCTACGGCCTAACCGCTATATTATAATTATGTAATCCACAACGTCTTAATCACTTTATTTTACCCTAATACAAATAATTACATGAAAATTTATGTTCGTCCCCGTCAGCGAATTTCATGTCATGGATGTGGGTTCTTCAACTTGGAACTCAGACAACCTATGCAATGCGGAAAATCAGTAGTGACTTCGAAGAAGTCTACCTTGGAACCAGACTTGATCAGTTTCCAAGAGCTGACTTCTGCAGGCTGGAGATGAACCAGGAATTGGGCTTCGTGCTTTCCAGGGCCTACGTTGACGAGTTCTTTCCAGCTGGAGCCAAAGAAGAAGTATTGCTCAAAATTGAAATCAGATAATCGTGAACTCATGAACATTTTTGTGGCCACGTTCGATCCGTACTTATTAATTCTTCATGATAGAATATATAGGATTCAAGTTCTAAACGTATTGACATTTGGATACTGATCTTGCAGATTTATAGAACAATCTGAACCTCGACACATAATCGCTAACAGCGCTGGTCTGCCTTTATCAGAACGAGCAGCTAGTCGAAGACGTCCGTTCTTCTTTCAATGCTCTGTTCGACGAGAACACATGGCTCACTCCAGAGGACCTCGTCACAGCCAGAGAGAAGCTACAGGCAGTCGAAAGTTTCGTCGCCTACCCCGAATGGATTATGGACGATGCAACCTTCACGGCAGCCTATGAAGGGGTAAGCTGTGTCTGGAAATTCTTTTTAATTTCATATTCTTGTCATGAATTTCTCAAGAATTACGTAAACAATCTTTTCCATAAGTAATTTGTTACTGCCACTGATGTATTTTGGCAAATGATTAATGATTCTAAACTAATATCAAATTTTACGTATCAAAAATTTATTTCATCATTATTAGGCGAAAATTTTACATCGTGAATCTGATACGCGATATTATTACAAAATATTGCTGCATAGGGTACTTCTGATAATGTCGTGTAATAATACTAACCCCTATTTCTGGAATTATACACTTTTGTTTCCCCATTGAAAGTTGGAGATCGCCGCTAACGATCAGTTCGGTAATCTCGTGCGCATTGGACAATATATGGAGCTTTACGAATGCGAAATCTTCAGGACTGAACCGCAAACAAAGTTAGTGCATGTTTTTTAGTAAAAGATGTAAGAAAAAAATTCTGATTATGAATAAAAATACATTTGTCAACTCAACGATTTGTCATATAATTTCATGTTGCAAATCACAATTTCATATGTTGTATTATGTAGAAGTCAAATGAAGAAAAAAATTGTTATACGTTTGCGATTCCAATTTCGGATAGACTGTAATCGTGCAGAATTAACGTTAATAAACAACGTTTATTTTAACAATTAATTAGCAAAACATGTTTGGCAAGGCGTTGAAATATGCTCCACTGCCATTAGTTGATTCAATACAAAGCATATAACCAGCATAAATCTAATTTATCCCACGCAACAGATTCATATTGCCTCCTACGGTGGTCAACGCCTTCTACGATCCGACGACCAACTCTATAAGTATGTATGAGTATGATTGAAAACTTGACTTTCTCATGAGTTTGTGTGAGAGGCTTCACATTCACGCATACTGCTAAGTATTCTTATTTCAATGATGTTTTTGTATGATCGGAAATTTTTTGCAGGATTTTTATTCAAAACTTAAATCTATATACGTAGAACCCTCTGAACAACTCGTGGTTTAGAACCATCTGAACTATACTAAGTGTAGTTTTGAACCCTCTGAACAACTCAGTATAGTTTAGTACCCTCTGGACAACTAAGTGTAGTTTATTTATAACCCTGTGAACAACTCCAGTTTAGAACCCTCTGCAAAACTCTTTGTAGTTTAGAACCAAATTATAAATTCAACGGCAATATAATTTATGTCACAAATCACATATGCAAAGACTACTGTTGAGTAAATGAACATCACTATGAATTTCTCCGAGCTCCTTAGTAAAATGATGTACGTAAATAATATTCAAAATTTCATTAAATTGTTAACTCCGCAGGTCTTCAAACATATATTAATAACTAATATTAAATAAGTTATGAATAAGGAAATAATTTTTTTGAACTTATCACGGTCTATCACAAAACTCTTGCACCACACAGCGATCTTGGCGGGTATCCTGCAGATTCCGTTCTACCAACACAACTCCCTTGCCGCCCTCAACTACGGGGGCATCGGCATGGTCATCGGCCACGAGCTTACACACGGCTTCGATAATTCAGGTGCATTTGAAGGCGATGTTTAAGAGTCAAGCAACGCATACATTACTTCACAGAAGGAGCTGAGTACGTTATGTTGAAAGCACTTTGAATAAGAGCGATGACACCTATTGTACAGATTCTGAGTAGAAGATATCGATCGTAAATTGCGAGAAATTAAATTCTCACCCGTTTAGAAATCTTCTTAAAGCATCTTCTGCAGATGAATGGTTTATGGTTTCCGTTATCTAATGCATGTATCCTTTCTTTGCAGGAAGAAATTATGACAAGGACGGAAACCTGGCGCTGTGGTGGAGTCAGGAGTCCATACAGGCTTTCAACGAGCGCGCCCAGTGCTTCGTCGACCAGTACGATGCCTTCCACCCTCCTGAGGTGGCCGACCCCACAGTCATGGTCAGAGCAAACCTTCTCACGATGGAATTTATTTTTAAATAAGTCAAAGCCACTCAATAGCTTTCCGTACTCATCAAAAATTAGAAACATAGATTTTTAAATGATAAAATTGAGAAATTTATGCGCCTTCATGCCGCATCCTAATTATTTCACTGCAATATGAGATTCGGTACCATGGGATAGAATAGAGCGTATTTTCGAACACAGGTTGATGGGCAACAAACCCTTGGAGAGAACATAGCCGACAACGGTGGAATTCGCGAGGCGTTCCTCGCCTACCAGCGCTACGTGGACCGCAACGGCGTCGAGCCCGCGTTGCCCGGCCTCGACGAGTTTACCTCAGAACAGCTCTTCTACCTCGGAAATGCAAACGTAAAGAAATAACTCAAGTTTGGTCGTAAATAAATAGGTAAAGAGTCTTCGACCTAGCCTACGCAGAAACTACGAAGCAATTCAAGTTTCGCCGTATGAATGAACAGTTAAAGATTCATCAACCTACCCATCAAAGACATTGCGAATTACGAAAAAATTATTCATATCCGACATAACATTATTGTTATGAAAAAACACACACTAAATATTAAAAGCCTTTGTGGCTTCTTTTGAGTTTATTTCATTGCCCCTCGCTCTTGACGGTGATTTCGCGATTTAAAAATGAGTCATTTGCAGAAATTTTGATTTTATTCACAGTTATGGTGCGAGAGCAGGACTGAATCCAGCATCTTGAGTCAGCTGGACAGCGACCCACACTCGCCCGGTCGATTCAGAATCCTCGGACCGCTCAGCAACGATGCAGAATTTTCCAGAGTCTGGCAATGCCCCGCAGGCTCCAATATGAACCGCGGAGACCAAAGCTGCGTGCTGTGGTGAATATATCAATGAAGAATGGTCGTGATTCAGCAATAATATAAGTACCGACAAATCATCTCAACATTTTTTCTGCTGTAATTTTTTACAATCGCTTGGTCAAAAATATTAAAAGATCTTCCATTGAGCCGTGCATTTATTAAACTTATTTTCATTCTGCCTTAGAAGTACAGTTAGTATGATATTTCAGTAGCAAAACATCTACATTAATAACTTTTATTGTAAATTGTTCGATGAAGTCGCGTAATAGTCTGTTAAATATAAAAATAAAATTATTTTCATGAACTTTATTACATTTTTTTGCGCATTAAAAAATTGAGATCTCGTCGTCATTTTATTGCTACCTTCATCAATTTTATTTCGTATATCAATGAGAAGAAAGCAAAAATAAAAAGATTCCGTCTGATACCGAGAATTTTTATCTTTCTCTCCAACTTGGAGGAATAGAGGCCGGAGGTCGAACTTGAATAAATATGGAACTTTTACTCAAGATTTATGTCTCGCAGGATAAAGTCGAACATTTTGTGTCATTTGTAAGCATACGACATTGGCTTACAATAGAGCGGGTAAGGCATCCCATGTTATTATGGATGCGTTCTGTAGCATATAAATATTTGCACGGATACCGTCTATCAAGAAGCATAATGACGAGGAAAGGAGAATTAAATTTTAAACGCAGGTCAATGATCGTGTGACCCTTAATGCGGAAATGGTCAGATGGAAATGTCAGATGTGACCCTTAATGCGGAAATGGTCGGATTTAGTTTGGATTTTTGAGAAATATTTGAATTCTACTACAGAAGAGAACATATAATTTAATTTCACGAAACCTGGGAGCCTAAGACAAAATATTTCGGTTATCTGGGCTCTGTTTGTTAGTGCTTCTCTCAATTGATATATACATGTATGTGACACGAGGACAAGAACCCGATGAACGAAGGTACGAAGTCTATAAATGGGATGGGTACTTTAGTAATGCCCCCTCAGTATCAAATAAACGCGCCGCGATGTAACTCGCGTTGGAATTACTCCGACCTAACGGTCGGCGTCAAGCCTTTTACCACTAATATAACTCTCATGTATAACCACCCCATATTAAGATAAGTTCTCTAGATAGATGGTGTCTTATTTATCTCTCACGAAATCAGTCAACGAATAGTTTTCTAACTTGGAGGCGCATAAATGGGCATCAGGGACATTAAAGTCGCTGACTTACACAGTAAGGAAACTTAAATTGTAGTTAAAACCAAAGACATTATTAAAAGAGGACATTTCATTCGATTCTATAATTTACTAATAATAATTACAATCGCTTCATATCACTTAAAATGCAAAAAAGTTGCAATAGAGGAATCTCTAAATACTGTGAGCGGATATATTCTTCGATATATGTTAAAACCATAAATACAGTATCATATGAATAGTCAGTATGCATGTACATATCTAAATAGTTTTATTTATTAGCTTCTTGTTAGTTTTTTCAATAAGTAGTACTAAATTCTTCGTAGGTGTTGGAAGATTGAAAATTAAATTTTTAATATTTTTAATAATATTGAATATTTTTAATATTGAACGACGTTTCGAATGTACAACATTCATTTTCAAGTTAAAGACGCATTGAGTAACGAAATTTGGGTTGACATATGTACGAAATCAAGTAAATTGGATACCATTCAAATAATGCTAAAATTTCGTTAATGTGATACTACAGGAAGATTTTACAAGCGCAAAAAACTACTCGGGAAATCAATCTCAAAGTTCTGACGAAGCCGGTGGTTCGAAGGTTGATAGCTGGATTCCTCTCCTTAATGATGAGGGCCTCAGCTATCGCCACTAGTATAGGATCGGGGCACCGCATAACGATACTGGTGCATTCTTCCAATATCGGGCGAGTGATGGTCTCGTTAATGTGGGCCTCCTTCAAGTGATTCCTTGGTCCTCCGGACTGAAGGTGGCAGGTGAGACGTCGGCTTAGAGTCGTGGTAGTGAGCCCGATGTAGTCCATATTAGGAAGAAGTCTACAACCTTCTTTATTGCAAGAAAATTGCAAGAACTTGCTTAGGAGAAGGAATTCTGCCAGCCTACACTAATATCTAAATAGATACACAGATGTACTTCAAATCTCGTATCTTGATAATGATCTGCATTGTCGCTGTGCTCGTGAATAAAGAGTACAACAATCAAAAACGACCTTCAAGATTATTATTTCACACTCTATCGTATGGTTAAAGTTAACTCTAATGAAGCGTTTGCGGTCTTACGAAGAGCGTGTGATGTACATTTTGATAAGCAATGCTTCCCAGCTTATTTGCGGTTACCGTGGCATTTATTTACCTGATAATAATAAAGTGTGCACGCTCCAGCTGCTTGCTAATAGTAATAAGACATGCTTAACTAAGAATGACACCAAGCTTGATAAATCAAACTTCCAATAAATGCAAAATAACTTTAGGGCAATACGAATTAGTATACAAACCCCAAGACCGTCGTGCCTGAATGACAATCTGAATGTCAGCACCATTTCGCGACGTTAGCTATCAAAACGAAGATAGGGACGCTCGAGACATCAAGTGTTTATGCTCGAGATTATTTGGGACCCTACAAATTTCCCATCTTGGTAATACAGAGTGGCCATGATTTGTGATATCGCCAGATCAAGTGGACACTAAATTATCGAGAATTTATTAAGGACTACGACATATGTGATGATTTCTCCACAGACTCTTTGCGTACAGGTGAGCTAGCATCTCAATAATGTCTTACTGAGTTTGTTGAGTATAAATACTGACATTTTTTAAACATATACAAAGATATAACATATTAATTTGTAAACTTCAGTGATTACAAAGTGTAATATTTTAGAAATTGCATCGCTGCAACTTTTTATAAATTTGCTTTTTAAAAATTAATTTACGCGTAATCTATTAACGAAAACGACTTCGACAATAGTCAACAAATTTTTCGATTAATTAAATTAGTAGATACTAGCAAAGCGCGTCTATCTTCACAATTTACGCAAACGGATTAAATCACAGATTACCCACAATCTTCTCTCGTATCTTGACAATAAAAAACTTGAGCACTGTCCCCAATCGAAACATTACCAAGCGCTCACAATATTTGCTAATCACCGTCAGTAAAGTTTTGGAAGCTTTTCGTAACAAAAACCTAGAGCGAGTTTCACGATGGAAGATTCTTCCTTGTAATATGTAATTGATTTAAATTTTTGAAATACTTCCAAGAACCTTGAGTGCTCATTTTTATTAAGCGACACAAAGCTATAAGGTACTTTATACTTTTCATTACTTAGTTCTTTAAACTTCGCAGAAGGCGTATCGCAAGCAATGCAATCACTGTGAATATTCTACATATCGATGAAAGGTAACTCGAATAGAGTTAATAAATTTGATTTCGTTCTAATGGTTAGGCTTGGTAATATATTATAGTTCTGGGATAAGTAAATTGAACTACAGTTATTAAGTCCTCCACGGCTGTAAAAAATATCAGCAGAGTTTTGATCTTTCTCCGTGGCAATATCATCAAAAATGAACAAATTTTTCTTCCCTGGCTCTATGTCACTTGGATCAGGTACAGATGCAGTTCGTATGGGGGGCAGGGGGACTACGGGGGGCAGGCCAGCTGGAGTGGAGGGGCGGCGAGTGGAGGCAGTATTCATAACGTATTCGATTGCTAATTTTTGTTTGCGTCTTTCAGGTTAGTTTCAAGATATTCAACAATATTGCCATTGCCATCGGAAAATAGATCAATGATTTGAGATTTATTATATCCCTTATCGCGAGCATTTCTCAACAACTTATATTCAGGCTGAAGAGTTGACTTGCTATATAGGTAAAGGTTGCTAAAATCAATAAAGTTCTTCATACGCAACATCAGTAGCAATGACGTTTTTCCGCTGTTTAATCTTAATCTTAATAGAAACCTCAAACTTGGCGAGGGAAATGCAAAATGGTTCATCTGCTTATTTAATATGCTCAGTAATTTTTTTAATATCTTAAGGTATAATATATTCAAGTCTCCTATTGTTTTATCGTATTCACAAGCAGATGTCGCTTGCGTTCAGTTCATGATTATAATAATATGCTCAGTAGCTTTTTGTATATTCTAAGGTATAATATAGTTAAGTCTCCTATCGTTTGATCATGTTCACAAGCAGATATCGCCTGTGTTCAGTTTAAGATTATAGTAATATGCTCAGTAAATATATTTCATATCATATGGTATAATATAGTTAAGTCTCCTATCGTTTGATCGTGTCCACAAGAAGATATCGCTTGTGTTCAGTTGAAGATTATAGTAATATGCTAATTTAATTTTTGCATATTCTACGGCATAATGTAATTTAAGTCTACTATCGTTTGATCCTATTCACAAGCCGCTGTCGCTTATGTTCAGTTTAAGCTTAAGTATACTTAAAGGTATAATATATCTAAGTATCTTATCGTTTGCTCGTGTTCATAAACAGATATCACTTGTGTTCAGTTTATGCTTATAGTAATATGCTCAGTAAATTTTTGATTATTCTATGATATAATTTATATTAGTCTACTATCGTTTGATCGTGTTCACAAGCAGATATGGCTTGTTTTGAGTTTAGGATAATATTATTATGCTCAGTGACTTTCCTATCTTCTAAGTAAAGAATACTAGGTTGGTTCCTTTGGTTCAAGGTTCGCGGGATACAGTATTGGAATGACGGGTTCGAGGTTAAGTACTTATGTACCGTTTCTGAAATAATTTTAAAATTCTGTAAGGAACGCATTTAAATAACGACTTATTTCATATTCCAATATAAGTGAATCATGAAACATTTATAAACAAAATACTAATCAATTCTTACCAAATCACTAGAGCTATGGCATAAATAAATCTCAGGTGACAGACAACTCGTAAACGAGTTTGCGAATATTAGAAAGCTTGTATTCTAGAGTGGTCGGCCTAAAGAAATGATGATGCTTTAACATTCTAAGATAAATAGTTTAATTGTGTTCAGTTTAATATATTTAAGTCTCTTATCACTTGGCTGTGTTCACAAGCAGATATCGCTTATGTTCAATTTAAGATTATAGTAATATGCTCAGTAAATTTTTTTCATATCCTAAGGAATAATATATTCAAGTCTTCTATGTTTGGTCGTGTTCACGAGCAGATATCGCTTGTGTTCAGTTTAATATTGTAGTAATATGTTCAGTAAATTTGTTTAATATCCTAAGCTATAATATTGTTAAGTCTCCTATCGTTTGGTCGAATTCACAAGCAGACGTCGCTTGTGTTCAGTTTAAGATTATAGTAATATGTTCAGT